TGAATTTAGTTTCACCCATTTGACAAGAAAATGAGAAACACTAATTAGGATGTTTTACTCTGAGAAGAGTAAGGTCTTTCTACATTTTATGTGCTCCCACTTTATTTGGTCGATACTTGTGGAAAAGAAGCTCTGTTTTCAGTATTGCCCTGGCTTTTTACAGCAGGAGTCAGGGAGCTGTTTATTTCTTGGTCACATGAAGTGTTCATGCTTTTTGTCACTGGCTGGTTGTAAGTTTGAAAACCAAAGAGCTCTTGGTAAACTTGGCAGTTAGTTAGCTCACTGGTGGATGGATTGGGAAATAGGCCATAGAGGCAATTTGATGAAATCTTTCTAGTGCAGACAGAAAATGATTACAAGATCAGTCTTCAGTTAAACTTGAAAAACTAACGAGGGGCAAGTAATCATTTACTGAAGAAAGAAGTTTTCTGAATGTTCTTGCTATTTCCAGTCCAGCTGCTCCATATAACCCTTTCCTCCTAGTTCCCCAATTTTTATGATGTGAAAATATTCAAACCTACAGAACTGCTGAAAGAATAATACAATGAATTGATCTTTAGCTCACCATAGATTCAACCTTTTTTTAAAAAAATTTTGTAGTTGTAGATAGGCAGAATTTCTTTATTTTATTTGCTTGTTTTTATGTGGTGCTAAGGATCAAACTCAGGGCCTCACAGATGCTAGACAAGAGCTCTACCACTAAGTTACAGCCCCAGCCCTAGATTCAGCCATTTTTTGGCGGGGAGTACTGGGGGTTGAACTCAGGGGTACTGGACCACTGAGCCACATCCCCAGCCCTATTTTGTATTTTATTTAGAGACAGGGTCTTACTAAGTTGCTTAGTGCCTTGCAGTTGCATAGGCTGGCTTCGAACTTGCAATTCTCCTGTCTCAGCCTCCCAAGCCACTGGGATTACAGCGTGCGCCACTGCACCCGGCAGATTCAGCCATTTTTAACTTGTTGCCATATGTGCTTTATCTTTTTTCTTCTTTCCTCAATCTTTCTTATTTCATGTTAACCCATTCTTAAATAAATTGCAGCTATCATGACATTTTACTCCTATCTACTTCCTTATATATCTCTAAGAAAAAGGATGCTGAACTATAGAAGCACAATAACATTATTTCACTTAAGAAAATTAACAGTGGATCCCTAATAGCATCAGATTTTCTAGTCAGTATTCAGATTTCCCCAGATGTCTAAAGATATTTCCTTGTTTTCATTTTTTTTTAATCAAATGAAGTTCTTCCTCTCCCTTTTTTAAAAAATATTTTTTTAGTTGTCAATGGACTTTATTTTATGCGGTGCTGAGAATCAATCCAGTGCCTCACACATGCTAGGCAAGTGCTCTACCACTGAGCTACAACCCCAGCCCTCTGTTGTTTTTGTTTCATATGATATTGACATTTTAAATTTTTTTTTGTGTGTATGTGTTGCCAGACATTGAACCCAAGGCCTCATATATGCCAGGCAGACTCTCTACTACTGAGCCCCATTTCCAACCCAACATTTTTTTAATTCTAAAAAGTTGTATTAACTGGATATATAAAGAACTCAAAAAAACTTAACACCAAAAACAAACAAACAAACCAAATAACCCAATCAATAAATGGGCAAAGGAACTGAAAAGACAATTCAAAGAAGAAGAAATACAGTTGGTCAACAGATATATGAAAAAATGTCCCACATCTCTAGGAATTAGAGAAATGCAAATTAAAACCACACTGAGATTTCATCTTACTCCAATCAGAATGGCAATTATCAAGTATTCAAGTAACAATAAATGTTGATGAGCATGTAGGGGAAAAGGTTTACTCATACATTGCTGGGGAACTGCAAATTGGTGCGACCACTCTCAGAAAACAATGGAACAACCATTTGGCCTAGTTAAGCAGGACTTAAAATCAGCATAATACAATGACACAGCCACATCAATGTTTGTAGCAGCTAGTTCACAATAGCTAAGCTATGGAACCAACCTAGGTACTCTTCAACAAATGAATGATAGAAAATGTGGAATATACACATAATGGAATATTACTCAGCCATAGAGAAGAATGAAATTATGGCCTTTGCTGGTCAATGGAAGGAGCTAGAGAATATCATGCTAAGGAAACAAGCCAATCTCAAAAAACCAAAGGCCAAATGTTCTCTCTGGTATGTGGATACTAACATAAAATAAGGAGGGGGGATATAAATTCATTGGCTTAGACAAAGGGGAATGAAGGGAAGAGAAGCAGGATGGGAATAGGAAAGACAGTAGAATGAGTCAGACATAACTTTGCTGTGTTCATATATGAATGCACAACCAGTGAAACTCTACATCATGTACAACTGCAAGAATGAGATTCTAATTAGAGTGTTTTACTTTATGTATATATAATATGTCAAAATACATCTAAAAAGAACAAAAAAAGTCTAAAAAGTTGTATTAAGGTGTACGTAACAATTATTTTCATCTTAGCTGGTCTTAAGTGCACAGTTTAGTAGCATTAGAGTACATTCATATAACTTATTAGACTAAAAGCACCACCATCCATCCTCGTAACTCTCTTCATCTCGCAAAATATAAATTCTGTTCTTATTAAACTCCTTGCTCCCTCTTCCCCCTGGTCCCTAGCAACCACCATTCTACTTTCTCTCTGTGAATATTTGTTAATAGGCCATATCTGCAAATAGGGGCAATTTTATTTCTTCCTTTCCATTTTTTATGTCTTTAATCTGTTTCTCTTACTGTATTCTATTGGCTAGAACTTCCAACGTTTGTTAAATGGGAATGATGAGAGCAGATATTCTTACCTTGTTCCTGATTGCCCTTCATCATTATATACATTCTGAACTTGGCTCAGAAAGGTTTTTTTAGATTTTTTTTTCCAAGTTGAGGAAAGCAGTCTATTCTTAATTTTCTGAATGTTTTTATTGTGAGTGAATGTTGAATTTTGTCAAATGGTTTTTCTGCATCAGTTATATGAATTTATGGTTTTTCTTCATTAGTTTGTTAATGTTATGCAATACACTGATTGATTTATGAATAATGAACCATCCTTGGTTATCTCTGGAATCAACTCTACTTGGTTGTGGTGTGTAATTCTTTCTATATGTTGCTTAATTCTTATTTGCAAATATATTTTTTAATATTTATTTTTTAGTTATAGTTGGACATAATACCTTCATTGTATTTATTTATTTTTATGTGGTGCTAAGATTGAACCCAGGGCCCTGCATGTGATAGGCGAGTGCAGTACCTCTGAGCCACAACCTCAGCCCTTATTTGCAATGTTTTTAAAGGATTTGTTTTTTTCTTTTCTTTTCTTTTCTTTTCCCTCCCTCCCTCCCCTCTTTCTTTCTTTCTTTTTTTAAAAATTGTACTGGGGATTGAACCCAGGAGCACTTTACCATTGAGCTACATCCAGCACTTTTTGTTTTTTATTTTGAAAAAGGGTCTCACTAAGTTGCTTAGGGATTCTCTAAGTTATTGAGGCTGGCCTGGAATTTGTAATCCTCCTGCCTCATCTCCTGAGCCACTGGGATTATAGGCATGTGCCACCATGCCTGGCTGTTAAGGGATTTGTATCTGTATTTGTGATGGATATTGGTTTGTAGTTTGGTTCTTTCTTTTCTTTCTCTGCCTTTATCTAATTTCCGATATCATGTACAAGATTGTGAAAGTCTTGATAAAAACAGTGACGATGGCTATAAGTCATGGAGTGAATAAGTTAGGGTACAGGACCATTGAAAAGAATCCAAAAGAGAAAGGAAGCTGGGGAATTAGAGAAGGGAAATAGTGTTGTCTGACGGGAAATCCTGTGTTTGGGTGAGTGTCAGTTACTATAGTGAAGCAGATTCAGAAGCGGTGGGAAGTCTCACAGTCATGGATAGAACAGTTAGTGTCATTGGGTTTGTGGATAATCTTAGTTAATGGTGTGGTAGGACTGGATTTCTGTTGACTATAGGGAAGTGATTTCATATAAGGAGTGTTAGGGAATATTGAATAGTAGAGGCAGAAGTGATGGGAAGACCAGGTAGAAGGCTTAATATTTTTTTCTTAATTTTTTTATAGTTGTAGATGGACAGATGCCTTTGTTTTATTTGTTTATGTGGTGCTAAAGATCAAACCCAATGCTAGGCAAGAGCTCTGCCACTGAGCTACATCCCTAGTCCAAAGGCTTAATCTTGGGCAGAAAATTGGGCACCCCTCTTTGGGAGTGCTGGGAAGGAGGATTATTGGATTGGAGAAAATGGAGTTCTTAGAAATGACAATATCTGGGAGTACATAAGGAGAACATATTTTCTGCTGATACCTCCATAAGGAGTAGCTGTGGGAATGAATTAGACCTAGTTTCTTTGTTTTTTTTCTATGTGTTTGTTTTTGAAACACTGATGAAGACTACAGTTAGGGAAAATCAGTGTGAAAACTCTTCTTCAAGAACTAGTGGTGGTACACACCTGTGATCCCAGCTACTTGGGAGGCTAAGGCAGAGGGATTGCAAATTCAAGCCAGCTCTACAGCTTAGCAAAACCCTGTCTCAAAAAAAGGTGTTGGAGGTGCTGGGCAATATAGCTCAGCGGCAGAGCACTTGTGTGAGATCCTGGGTTCAATTCCAGTACCATAAAAGAAGAAACAAATTAAAAAAAGAAAAAAAATCTTCAAAAAGGAGACATCATTGGAAGTAAACAGCTGAGTCTTATTCCTGACCAGGATTGACCATGAGAGGGCCTTAAGCTGTAACTTCTGTTGAGCCATAGATCCAGGGGCTATCCAGTTTGTAATCGGTAATTAGACTTAGTCTTCAGGCCAGTCCTGTACAGTTTCTTCCAGAAAACAGAAGAGAAAGGAACTCGTTTTGTAGTTTTGATGCTAGAACCAAACAAGGACTGATTTCCATCCCTAGCAAAGTCATTTCTCTTCCTCATGCCTTATCATGGGCATCTCATACCAAGTGCAGCTCTTATCATCAGGTTGTGTTGGTGCTCAGAACTGTTTCTTGTTCTTTTTGCAGCTGTAGCCGACTCCGCCAGATACAGAGCATCCTAACCCAGAGCAGCAAGTCTCGGCCTGATGGGATCCTGTGCATCCTAGGTCAGTACTTTTAGCAAGATGGGACTCAGGGTGGGGGCAATTCAGATTCTTATCACAGTAAACTGATAACAATATATCATTGTAAGATAAACTTTATCATTGTAAGACAAACTCCTAGCTTTCATTCCCCTGAAATCTGTGGCTGTTTTAATGAGGTTGGATAGAGAGACACCAATGAGATAAGGAGCCCTTACCTTACTCTTATTCTTAGAACTCCTTCTGCCAGACCCTTTCCTCTTGCTATGGCTCTGGGACTTTACAGATATCCAGAACCAGATAGTATATATATGTGAGGCATCAAGAGGCAGTAGTGAAGACAGCATCATTTAATTGCCTTTTTATTATCTCTGACCCACCTTCACTAGACTGTAAGCTTTATGAATGCCATTAGCAGGTAGTCCAGCATCCAGTGCAGTGCTTAATCTTCTTGCTCTTAATATTTATGAGATGCTGAATGTTTATAGTTCCATTCACTTGTTATCTTCTTCATGCTATTTTCAAGCCACCTTAATTGCCTTTATTTGCAACCACATGTTTTGCTAAAGATCTTCACAAGAAATGAATATTAGTCAGGAGTGGAGGCATACATGTGAAATTCCAGTGACTTGGGAGGCTGAGGCAGGAGGATAGCAAGTTCAACGCTGGCCTTAGCAACTTAGTGAGGCTGTACACAACTTAGTGATACCCTGTTAAAAAATAGGGCTGGGGATGTACATAGCTCAGTGATAGAATTTTCCTGAGTTCAATCCCCATGCACCATATCAAAAAAAAAAGGTGAATATTTTTAAGACATCTATTCTTAAGACTAACTGAGAGTATTCTAAGCTCTTAAACAAGCCATAGAAGGACTCAAAGCATTATTATCTGGTTCCTTACATCCTCAGGTTTGATTTTTAGTCTCAATAATCTGTGCTGTTTGATTTTCTAAGCTAAATATTTAGATCTTGGAATCCAAGTAAGGATACTGGATGATATGAGCTGCCATCTTTGATCATCAGAGTTTTGTTAAGCAGGGGCAAAGTATTGGGGCTCATTTGCCTCCCATAGTACAGAACAGCTGATCAGAACTTTCTTTGCCTTGCAGGAATTGATAGTAGGTACAATGAAGGCTGCAGAGAGCTGGCAAATTATCTTCTGTTCGGTTTATACAATCAGAATATCAGTGATTTTGAGAAAACGGGATTTTCTGAAGAAGTTCTCGATGGTAAGTCTGTGTTGGTAAAATTCTATGTGAGAGAAGAGTTTATTGCTTTGCATTGTTAGTTCATGATTTTTTTATGGAAAAGTATGATCAAATTTAAAATAAAAGTCCCATTAAAATTTTGTCTTTTATTTTTTTTCTCATGTTTTCTTCTTTTTCTTTTCAAGTCAGGCAGGGTCTTACTAAATTGCCCAGGCTGGCCTTAGACTCAAAATTTTCCTACCTCAGCTTCTCAAGTAGCTGGGATTACACGCATGTATCACCACATCTGGCAAAATTTTTGCCTTTTTTAATATTTTTTGTAGTTGAAGATGGACAGGACGCCTTATTTTATTTGTGCTAAGGATCAAACCCAGTGTCTCCTGCGCTAGGCAAGTGCTCTGCCACTGAGCCACATCCCTAGCTCTAAATTTTTGTCTTTTTGACAGTGAAAAATAACATTTATTCTTTGTTGATATATTAAATATTGTTGGTCACCCACTGGATAAGTGAATAGCAACAAGTTATTTTCAGAATATATTTACTGGGTAAATCAACTTTGGAGAAGAAAGTAAACATCAGTATTTGGCTTTATCTCTTCTTGGCAAGATATTAGTTTTCCTCATAATTTCCCATTAAGGCCCCATAATTTGCCTCTAAGGCTGAAGGTTCAGATATGTGCTGTTATCCAGTGAAAGCATGTTTAGTTGTGAAGCAAGGATGAGCCTGCAGGCTGCTCCTACAAGGAAGACTTCTTGTGGCTCTTCAGCTGAGGAACAAAAGCTCTTTGTCCTGCTATCTTTTGGAATTGTTTTCTGTGTGACTTTAATTCCTGATGATGCCTGTGACTACAATGCAGGCTTTCTGCTTACATTCCTCTTTTCTTAGCTCTGAGACACTCTGCCTGTGTTGATGCTACAGTGGGCTGTTTCCCAGGAGCTATCTCTGATATCACATACTTAGCATCATGACTTGTCTGCCAGATGGGTCAGGAGACAGGAGCAGGCAAATAAAACTGGACAGGAGACAGACAACTGTTGTGAGGCAGCTGGGGGAGCCATGAAAGCAAACATCTGATGTGAAATGATCTTGCTTCAGTATAGTGGTTCTCAGCTGGGGGCACTTTTGTTCCCCCAGGGGACATTTGACAATGTCTGAAGACATATTTTGAGTGTTAAACTTGTGTGGGGAGTGCTACTGGCATCAGTGGGTAGAGGTCAGCAATGCTGGTAAACATCCCACAATGCCCAGGACAGCCCCTAAGAATTATTTAATCCAAATTGTCAGTAGTGCCAAAGTTGAGAAACCCTGATCTTCTGTGGTAAAGTCCTTAGTTATGTTTATACCTTATATTGTTTAAAGCTCTCCTTTTTATTATAAAGTATAGAATTAACTGAAAATCCCCCTTCTGTTAACTTTTTTTCAATTCAAATTACGTTTCAGATTTTGATTTAAAATTTTTTTCTTACATTGTATAGCTCTGCTTGTTTGGAAAGAATTAATCTTGGCAATTTGTATCAGCTACACATTTCACTATAGCCAGGGTTGCTAAGGACATTACAGTACTGAAATTAAGGAAATACTTGAAATTCTAAAAGGTGCTTTACTTTGCTTATTTTTGTCTTTATCCTGTCACCTGACACAATAGGTGCTTAGCAAATGAGCATTTTATTCCAAATTAGCAAATCTATTTTTAAAAAACTCTGATCACATTTCTGCTTGTATAGTTAACTCACTAAATATATAAAAGGCAAAAGGACCAATAAGAGTGACTTATTTTTTAAAAAACTTTAAAAATATTGAACATATTCAACTCATATATACTTTATTCTTTTACCTACCTGTATACTGTTAAACTCATGTTTATAATGATGACATCAGTCTGTTGAGATTCTGAGAATACATCAACTGTTCAATTTTAAACTTTTTTTTTTCTTGTGGAAAAAAAAGTGTTCTGCCACTGTGCTATGTTCCCAGCCCTTTTTATTTTTTATTTTGAGACAGGGTCTTGCTAAATTGCCCAGATTGGACTTGAATTTGTAATCCTTCTACCTCAGTCTCCTGAGTCACTGGGATTACAGACCACTGTGCCTGGCTTTTATTATGCCCTTTATAGTATCCTAGTTCTTTGAAGCATGTTGCACTTCAATGTAGAGTGTCTCAGTCTCTCTGGGTGACATCAAGCTCACACTCCTCTGAAGGTAATCTACAAGTGATTTAGGACAGGGCTCTAGAGAGGGTGGTGAGGAAACCCAGTACTGAGAGATGAGAGGTTACCCCCCTTTCCTACCTTTTGCTACCTTTTGACTCTAGCACTTCCCTGAGAGTCCACAGTGAAAAGGCTGTTTCCAGAATACTCTGGGCTGACCAGATGTAAAGTGCAGAGTGGCTTAAAAGGCTAGCACCATGGAACTCTGTTTAGGAGGCTACCCTACTATGTGGTCAACTATGGCTTGTATTTATTATACTTATAATATTTTTCATTAAGTGTGGTCAGTTACACTGCACTGCTGTGTTGGCATTGCTCCAATTGTCCCACATCAGATGCTCCTCTTCCCTATGTACCTTTTTACCTCCAGTGACTTCTGGCTTCATCTTATTAGAAGCCTGGTGGCTCTGGTCTCAGAGGAACCATGGAATAAAACCTCTGCTTCTATTCTGGAGGTATGGGTCCTTTCATTCTCAGTGTTCCTACTACTTTAATATTGCTTTCCTAGTCCATGGCTCTCCCATTTACCTGGTTTTATTTATACCTTTAGGATTGCTTTATTTGCTTGATTTACCATTGTTGATGGCCGTTCCTTAAATCTGTGAGCTGTGCTGATCTATTTACAGAAGCTCTTTCCCCTTGCCTCAACTTCCTTCCTCCCAGCCTTTCCTGTGTACACAGTAAGCTTTCCCAAAGATGACATGCAGTATCCAGGACCACAATTGCCTGGAGCTAGTTAAGCCAGTAGTCTAGAGCTTTAGACACTGATCTTTGTGAGAGCACGATCACTGGCCATAGTTGATGCTGTTTTCCTGTCTGAGAGGGCTTAAACCATGAGGTTTCCATTTGGTATTTATCTATGCATTGAAGTACACAGCTGAGTTTGGTACCACAGATTTTACTGTGTTGACCCTTGCAAAACACCATGTTTTGGTTGATCAAGACTGGTTATTTGGTGCCTGCATTGCTATAACCAGAGGGCCATGGAGACCAGGAAATTCTTATCGTCAACATTTGAATGTTCTATTTGCTTTGAAGCACATTGCCTAATTAAATAATTTTATTATTAGTTTTGTTACATTGTTTTCGAAATACTTTTAATGATTGATTGGGTTTTTTTGGTGGTGTAGGGTCTTGAACTCAGGGTTTCCTGCATGCCAGGTAAGTGCTCTACCACTGAACTTGTACATCCCCAGCCCTTAATGGTTTGACTAATTTTCTGGGTAGGAACTATCTAAAGGAAAAGCCTTTGACAATTTTGTGTCTTGATTTTTGTTTTCTTACAGATGTAATTATATTGATTAAATCAGACAGTGTCCATCTGTACTGTAATCCTATCAACTATCGCTATCTAATACCCTATGTGGCACATTGGAGAAATCTGCATTTCCACTGCATGACTGAAAACGAGGTGAGGAAAAAAGATCAAATGGGCACTTGTTTAAGGAAAGTGTTGGTCTGGAACAGGTAGCCCCTCAAAATAGTTTAAGTAGAGATTTTTATATTTCATTTTGAAATTACCTTTTAGATAAATTGTTTGCCTGAAGGTGACAAAAAGGGGTTGTTGGAATCAGGACCTAGTAGTAGGCTTGGAACCTATGTTCCTGTTCTGCTGCTTCTCCACCAGCCTGAGACCACTGTCTTCTGGGACTAGTGCTTTGGGGACTACCCTCAACATTTTTTTTCAGATTTGTGACATTTCTGTCTTTGGGTTTCCTGGTATCTGCTTCTGTTTCCCTTTGGGTCCTTTTCAAGAATTTGGCTGGAAATCAAATTGAGATTTGAGTTTGAAGATTTTATGAAAGTTGTGACCTGATATTGGTCAAGAACTCTTCTTTGTATGTTGAAGATTTGAGGGTGAGGGAGGATAAATTTTATGCCTTGCCTTAGATGTCCTGATATATTTAGAGTTGATTTTTGTGTATGATTTCAGTTGATTTTTGTGTATGATTTTTGTGTATGATTATAAAGGAATGACAAATTTTTCTGACCAGCAATTTCAATAGTTTGGCTTTGAAAACACCCTCTTGGGTGCAGTCTTCTATAAATGTCTTGGGACAACACTGATAAACATAGAAAAAAGGGGCTGGGGCTGTGGATAGTGGTAGAGAGCTTGCCCCTCACGTGGGAGGCATTGGATTCCCATCCTCAGCACCACATAAAAATAAATAAATAAAGATTTTTTTTTTAAATGTAGAAAAATGCAGAACTTTTCATGGTGTCTCATCAGAGTCTGTTTGCCTTTTAATTTCCATCTTTAGTATGAAGATGAGGAAGCTGCAGAAGAATTTAAAATTTCCAGCTTTGTAGACATGGTTCGAGACTGTAGTAGAATTGGCATTCCTTACAGCTCCCAAGGTGAGTGACAGCAAGCCATTTAAGAACCTTGCTTGAAGCAGGGTATGGTGGCCTACACCTATAATCTTAATAGCTCTGGTGGCTGAGGCAGGAGGATTACAAGTTCAAAGCCAGCCTCAGCAAAAGCAAGGTGCTAAACAACTCAGTGAGACCCTGTCTCTAAATGAAAATATAAAATAGGGCTGGGGATGTGGCTCAATGCAATCCCTGGAACTCTCCCCGCAGCCTCTAAAAAAAGAACCTTGCTTGGAGAAAGGCCCACCTGAGTCTTGGGTGAGGGTCTCTCCAGGTTCTTTGGGGCCAGAGGAATCCTGAAACCATGTATCACCCACATATGCTTTGAGACATTCTTTAGATTTCTTCCTGGAAGCCGTGCAACTACCCTAAAATTGAATGTATTGTAGAACAGATGTATGTGTTCTGGACCATCAATGGAGCCAACAATTCAAAATTCAGATATTGTCTTTGCAGAAAATCTTAGCTGACATTTTTATGATATCCAAAGAGGTGACATTGTGATTGCAAAAAGCCCAAGTGAACCAAAATCAAATATTTGTAGAAGAGTAATTGGTTTGCAAAGAGACAAAATCCTCACCACTAGTCCATCAGATTTCTTTAAAAGCTATATTTATGTGCCAACAGGTCATGTTTGGTTAGAAGGTGATAATTCTACAGATTCCAGGTATTATGGACCTACTCCATATAGACTAATAAGAGGACGAATCTTCTTTAAGATCTGGCCTCTGAGTGATTTTGGATTTCTACGAGACAGCACAAATGGCCACAGATTTTCTGATGATTAGCAAGCATTTATTCTTTTGACTTGATTATTGTTTCCTGTTCAAGTGAATTTATTACTGCAGTTGAAACCATGTACTTAACCAATAAACTATTTGCTGTTCAATTTTAGTTATTTGTTAAATGTAAAGAAAAGCAATCCATTCTGCAAACTCTTGTTCAAAATATTTGTGTAAAAATAAGTATAACCCAAGATCAGTGTTTCATCTAAATTTTATGTTATATATAAAATATTTGCAGGGGGACCTGAATGACTATACCTCACTTGCAAATTTTTTGTCTTGTATAAGTAAAGTGAAAATTACTTAAAAAAAAAAAAAGAGCCTTGCTTGGATGGTGTGTGAATTGAATGTCCCTACTTCTCTTTCATTGAAGGCTTTCATTGAGAAACCCCTTGATACATTTTTACTAGGCAAAGGATCAAGTGAAATGAAATTGGGGATTTTCTATAAAATCTTGTATTTTTAAAAAATATTTTTATTAGTTGTTGATGGACCTTTATTTTATTTATTTATATGCGGTGCTGAGAATCAAACCCAGTGTCTCACATATGCTAGACAGGTGCTCTACCACTGAGCCACAACCCCAGCCCCATAAGCTTGTATTCTTTTTTTTTCTTCTTTTTAAAGTATTTATTTTTTAGTTTTAGGTGGACACATTATCTTTATTTTATTTTTATGTAGTGCTGAGGATCTAACCCAGTGCCTCGCACATGCCAGGCGAGCACTCTACCACTTGAGCCACATCCCCAGTCCAAGCTTGTATTCTTAATTGTGAAATTTCCATATGAACACAGCAAGCCACTTACGTTCAGATAGAAGAACGGATAGGCTATTTATTTAGTACAATTGATATATAATCTCTATTGCTTATTATATAGAGTTTAGATATGGGGCCTCTTGGTAATAAGAAATAATAATTTGTACAGTCATTTAAAAATATGCTTTCAGGCTCAAAAATGGATGTGGAGAATAGAGAGAAAACCCAACAAATTTAGCAATATAGGTGGGAAAAAGCTTTGCATGTTTAAGCTATTGTTAAAGGAAAATTTTTGATTTGGTAGTTTGCCCTTGAGGAAGTTGATTGCTTAATTCTTAAGGGAAAAGAGTCAATTTTGGGTCTGTTAATAATTATACCTACTAAATAATGCAATTCAAATATAATATACTACTCATTTTTTACTTAATTACTTAATTAGGAAACCAATATCACTTGCTTATGCTTTTAATTTTTCTTGGCTTTTATTATGTATTTCTAGTTTCAATACCTAACTGTTTTATCTGTGTGAAATTTATTTTATCAGATGAGATCCTGGTGAACTTGTGAGAAATAATGCCTGTCCAGCCACATTAGATCAGGTTTAGACTGTTATATCTAGGATGCTATTTGATATGTGTTGTTGTATTTGATTCCTCTAGGTCACTTGCAGATATTTGATATGTTTGTGGTGGAAAAATGGCCAATTGTACAGGCCTTTGCACTGGAGGGCATTGGAGGGGATGGATTTTTTACCATGAAATATGAGGTATGTATGAAAGGTAATATGTTTGGGTTTTGTGTGCCACTGGACCATTTTTGTGAAGGACCCACAATGTAAGTGTGCATTGTTATAACACATTGAAAACTGGCAGTTACCTCCCATTTGCTAGACAGGTGCTCTACCACTGAGCCACAAACCCAGCCCCACAAGCTTGTATTCTTTTTTTTCCTTCCTTTTAAAATATTAATTTTTTAGTTTTAGGTGGAAACATTATCTTTATTTTATTTTTATGTGGTGCTGAGAATCGAACCCAGTGCCTCGCCACATGCCAGGACATGGGACAAATTAGAAGACTTAAAATGGAAAACAGTTGGTATTTGAACCTAGTTCCAAACTGAGCTCTTACATCCTCTTTTCTTGAAGTTTCTCTTGGAACTTCTCTTTCTTTCCCCATTTTGAGTTAGGTGTTCTTCCTGTCTACCCCTATAGCACCCAAGGCTAACTTCTCTTGCAGCGTTTGTCCTGTTGTCACACTTGTCATACATATTCCACTCACCCACTCACTTCTGGTCTCTGACTGCAAGCTCCTTGAGTAGGTATACAGAGCCCTGTTTTTGTTGTTTTTTGTACTTCAGCCAGGTAATTTGACAACTGTTCAAGAACAATGAAAGGGACAATGTAAGGTTTTGTATAAATACAGTATTAGTAGAGGAAATAAAATGGTTAGCTTTTGTGGTAAGACAAAATCTTTTCTTTCAGTATTCCTTGCATCTAGGAGATAATGAATAAATATTTGTCAAGTGAGCTAATGAGTGAGTCTGGGAGATGGGATCATTCAGGGTAGAGAATAGGGAGGATGGCCTTGTAGTCTAGTAGCATGGATGACAGGCATTCATATGCCTCCATAGGATCACCACTGACATGACCTGCCCCAGCACAGGAAACCATGGATGGGAAGCATTGTCATGCTAGAAATGGGGACATTCTGTTAGGGAGGGAGTAAATGGGACCTTTATTTTAATTTTTGCTGTACTGGGAATTGAACCCAGGTCCTCATGCATTTGAGGCTAGTGTTGTACTACCCGCAGCCCTAAGTGGGACCTTTAGAAACAAGGCACAGGGCTGATTCCTGGCTCTCCTTCTGAGAAGTACCAATATCCTCAGGACATGGAGGTTTGCCTGGTGGGAACACATCACATCCTCTAATATGAAGCAGCATGTGCTAAAGGAGGGCTAGAGGGAAGAGGGATGCTATCACTTGGACTGTACCTTTCCTGCTCCCAAAGCACAATATTCTCATACTGACTACAAGTAGCAGAGCATTAACAAAGCTGCAAGAGCTGCCACTGTTAGGAAGTAATACTCTAATTCAGATGAGAAGGAGATTGAAGGGAGACAGGCCCTGTGGGGCATAGAGGAAGGTAAATAATTTTAAAATAATAGAATTTTTTTTTGTAATTAATTGTATGAACTAAGCACTTACAGAGTACTTATTCTTTTTTTTTTAATCTTTTTTTTTTTTTTGGTGGGGTTCTTTTTTTTTTTTTTATTTTTTTTTTTTTGTCTTTTTTTGAACTGGGGGGTTGAACCCAGGGCTTTGCAAATGCAAGGCAGATGCTTTGCCACTGAGCTACAATCCCAGCCTATTACAGAGTACCTTTTCTATGCCAGCACTTCATGTTAAAAAAAACCCTCCAAGCTAGGTACTACTTTATGTCTCTCTTTTATAGAAAGGTTAGGTGAATTTCCTTAAGTCATAGTGAATGGCAGGGCTGGGGCAAGGTGGTCTGCCTTCCGAGGCTGTGCCCCTGACCCTAGGCTATATCTTGATGTATACTAGAAGGCTGTATCCTTGATGTAACCCAAGTGAGATGGGCTTTTGGCCTTAACGTACTGCACATCATGAAGTCATGTTTTCAGGAACAAAAACCAAAAACACAAAACAAAAACCTCTCCTCAAAAATTTTGAAAGATAATGTAGATCTATTCTAGAGAGAGGCCATGAGAAGGAAAATATATGCATCATATTTACTACAAGGTCTCTCTCCAGATTCCTTTCTCCAGCTCCTGCCCTTGTATGTAACTGCTAGTTTTTATTCTCCCAGCTACTCTTTTTTTTGTCTCCATCTCATTTACCCCATCTAGTTATTTTTTAAAAAAAATTTTTTTTAGTTGTAGATAAACACAGTATCTTTATTTATTTATTGTTATGTAGTGCTGAGGATTGAACCCAGGGCCTCACACATGCGAAGCAAGTGCTCTACCACTGAGCCACAACCCCAGTCCCCCCATATAGTTATTTTCTTTACCCTACCCTTCCCAGTCATTTATGGTGAGGAGTAGTTTGGTCTACAGATTGGCACTGCCAGTGTCCTCTCTATTCCACTTTGATGGTCTGATGACTACCCAAGCCAAAAAGACTCTTGCCTTTATTTATTTGTTTGTTAATTTATTTATTTATTTTTGGGTGCTGAGAATTGAACCCAAGGTGCTTAACCCCTGAGCCACATCCCCAGCCCTTTTTAAAATATTTTATTTAGAAGCAGGGTCTCACACAGTTGCTTAGGGCTTCATTAAGATGCTGATGCTGGCTTTGAACTTTCGATTCTTCTGCCTTAGCCTCCTGAGCTGCTGCACCACAACTCCTGGCTAACTCTTGACTCTATGAAAGATAAGAAAAAGAGAACTATAGATACTTATAACTTAATTTTTAAAAATTCTCTTTTATTGTATGGCCATACTTAAAGTCATTTGCTGGGTGTGGTGGTGTACTCCTGTGATCCCAGCGGCTCAGGAGGCTGAGACAGGAGGATTACAAGTTCAAGGCCAGCCTCAACAATTTAGCAAGGCCCTAAGCAACTTAGTGAAACCCTGTCTCAAAATTAAAAAACAAAAATTTAAAAAAAGACTGGAGATATAACTCAGTGACTCAGTGATTAAGCCCCTCTGGGTTCAGTTCCCAGTACAAAAAAAAAAAAAAAAAATCATCCACCCATAGGGTGTTTTGTCTCTGATGTGATAGATGCCAACATGAAAAAGGAAACCAGACCCAGCCATAGTTTTTGCTTGGCATTTAGACTCATTACACTGGGTCATGGATATGGAGAACTATTTTTTCCTGGAAGCAGTAAGGGAAAGCTCCTCTGCTCAGGTTTTCCTGCCTCTGCTTTCTTGTTACCCTCTAGCTTCTGGAACTGTGAACTGCTAATGTTAATTTATAACAACCAGCTCCCTAAGGGGAGGATCCTAAGAGAAAGCTTTTGAAAAACAAGGCTACCATGAACATTCTTTTACTTATTTATAGACAAACATAAGTTCTTCATATTGAGAGGTGGAATAAGGTTTATAAAAAGATTCAATGAAATATAAGAAAGAGACCATAGCATACTAAATGCAAAGATAAATAACATGCTTTTTAAAAATTTTTTTCTATCAAACAAAAGTGAAAAAAACCCCTCTCTTTTGTACCTTTTAAGAATGAAGTTTGTAAAAAGAGAAATGAGATACAGCAGATGAGTAGAGTTAAAAGGGAGGTGGATGACTATAAGGAAAGATTGTAAAAAAAATCCATAATTCATTAGTAGAATTAAAATTTACATTAAAAAGAGATATCAGATTCAGTCCCCTCAAAAAAACTAATTAGTTGTTATACTTGAAAAGCTTTTTCAGAGTATGGTAGAAGGGGCTTAAACAGATTAGATTAGTGATAAAAGGACAGGGAATGAAAATTGGTGATATTAAAAATGAAGGAATTAGTTGAAGATTGTTATATAACAACCTGTATCGCCCTCTGCCATTCCCCCTGCTCCCTGAGTGACAGGCAATCAGGTATTTGCCAAAAGCAAAAACAAATAATAGATAGAGTAAGTAAATCCCCCTCCTCCCCACAAAAAAAAAAATAGGTATAACAATGGTTTTCAAGAAACTAGGCATCAGGCAATGAAGAATAATGATTTCCTGAGAGGTGGAAATAAGCAAGGTGAATCCCATGATTGCTTCAGCTTACAACTTTGAGAAAATTCCTAGACTATGTCCCAAGGAGGTAGACTCAGGTAGATAAGGACATTAAAACAGTTATTATAACTATATTCTGTATTCAAGGAACTGTAGGAAAGATTAAGACATAGAAGATACAAAAAAGACCAGACCCAAATACAACTTTTAGAGATGAAAACTGTAGTAGCTAACCTAAAATTACATTAGCTGAGATTGGCTTTTGTAGAAAAAAGGATTAATGAATTTGAAGCCATAGTAGTAGAAACTATTCAAGGTGAACACAGAGAGATTAAAGAATTAAAAAAAAAAAAAAAGGAGCACAGTCATGAGAACAGAATAAAGATTTGAAAAAAAAAGTTTGCTTCCCACTTAATCCCTTTTAGAAAGTTATTGAATGTTCTGTGTCAGTAAACAAGGAGGTTAACCAAGGAAAAGGAGAAAAGTAAGTCATGGGACTAAATCTGTCATCTGAGAGCTTCAGGATAATAGCAAAGAGAAGACTCAAAGTGAATATTGTAGCTGTGCAAGCTTGCACAACAGCTGGGCCAGAGTGAAACAAGGGAAGAAAAAGAATGGAGTATTTTAGTTTAAGTCAGTTGTTCTCGGTTGGGGATGATTTTGCCCTAGCCTGCTCTCAAACATTTGACAGTGTTGGAAATATTTTTGGTTTGGCTTTGAGGTGAAGGGAGGTGCTATTAGCAACCAGTGAATAGAGGCCACAGAGGCTTCTCAGCATCCTATATTACATAGGGGAGACCCCACACAGCAAAGAAATATCAGGTCCTAAATGACAATAGTATCATTGTTGAGAAATTTTTTAATAAACAAATTGGGTAGAGCAGTTAGAAAGTTTAGGATTGATTTCTAAAAATTATGCAAATGAAAAAAAATGAAGCTGTGGGCTAGACAATGTGGCACACATCTACACTACCAGCTATTTGGGAAGATGAGGTGGGAATTTGAGCACAGCCTGGGTAACATAGAGAGACTGTCTCAAAAGAAAAAACATCTGTTAGTACTTCTAAGAAAATTAAAATAAGAGAAAAATAAAAATAAGAAAGCAAAAAAGAAGTGTAGTTTGACCACAGGAATGGGAAGTCATACTCCATGTACATATAATATGTCAAAATACATTCTACCATCATGTATATCTAAAAGCAACACATTTTAAAAGTTACATTAAAAAAGAAATGCATCTGAATTTAGCCTTCAATAAATAATATTTATAAGGTTTTTAGTGTCATTAGTAATAATTAGTGATGTAAACAAAAAAGTAGTATCATGATAGAAAGTAATGTTATGTTAAGTGTGTGTAGAGAAAAAGTGTGGGAATGGGTTGAGCATAGGAGAGCTGCATCTTTGCCATAAGTTAATATTTAATTTCTGGATTGATAAGAAGTAGTGAAGGGGTTAGGGTTTGGCTCAGTGGTAGAGCACTTGCCTAGCACGTGGGAGGCACTGGGTTCAATCCTCAGCACCATATAAAAATTTAAAAATATAAATAAAGGTTGTAAGGGTCTGGCGAAACGTCGGAGGGAGAGACCACCCAAGAGACTGACTCCATGCAATTGGCAAAAGGGGATATTTATTGAGGATCCATTCCAGCGCGCTGTGGCTCCGTGCTTACTCAAGAAGGGAGAGCAGCCCAGAGCCCAGAGCAAAGGTCAAGCAGAGCTTAAGTACACTTTTTGGAGAGGGCGGTGGGCTTTGCATACATCAGAACAAATCATCATGAGGCATGGGGAAATTGAACAACAACTCTGAGACGTGATTGGCACATTCGGGCGGGGGGTGATTGGTCATTCATAAGTGGGTTACACATTCAAACTGATTGGTTCAGGCCCTGTGACAACTGCACAGGGCCCTAGGCTAAATGGCCAGTAGGGCGTTGTTTTAACTATCTCAGGAATTTCAGGTTCTGGGTGTAACAGAGGAACTTAATAATACCTAATCTTTTACATTCAAGCTTTCCAGCTTAGAAACTTTACCCTTTCAGGTATATAAAAAAGTTTAGTTAAAAAAAGAAGAAGCAGTGATAGAAACATACATCAAAATGTGGAAGTACATAACAAACATTATCATGCCCACCCACAAGAATGGGGTCCTAATTAGGATAAGATATATTCCATGCTGGTATAATTTTATCAAAATGGAATCTACTGTCATGTACACTAAGAAGAACCAATAAAAAATAAATAAATTTTAAAAAGAAAATGTAAAAAGCTTTAAATGGTCACTTCTGAGAAGTGAACCTAGTGGAGGTTTGTAAAAGGTCAGAATAGGGGATTAGAATTTTTTATTGCAAGCTTTTATACTATTAGATATTTTATACCATGGACACATTATTTTGATTAAAATTTTATTTTAAACAAAGACAAAAAACACATGGACATGTCTGCATGTGCATAGATTAAATATATACATACTTGTATATACATATGTATGTATATATGTATACACACACATTGAACATAAAGAATATTCCAGAGATTCTGGGAAAAAAAAAACAGTTTTCTTGAATGAGAAAGCATTTTTAAAAATGTATAGGTTCTAATTTAATTGATTAAAATTTTTGATTTATTATTTTAATCACACTGGGTTCATACCAAGGTAGTAATTTTTATTTATTTTTATTTTTTTATTTTTTGGTACTAAGATTGAACCCAGGTGCTCTCTACCATTGAGCTACAGCCCCAGTCTTTTTGTGTGTGTTTGGGGGGGGGGTATCGGGGATTGAACTCGGGGGCACTCCACTAATGAGCCACATCTCCAACCCCATTTTGTATTTTATTTAGAAACAGAGTCTCACTGAGTTGCTTAGTGCCTCACTTTTGCTGAGTCTGGCTTTGAACTTGTGATCCTCCTGTCTCAGCCGCCTGAGCTGCTGGGACTACAGATCTGTGCCATCACGCCAATCCCAGTTCTTTTTATTTATTTTTAATTTTTATTTTGAGACAGATTTCAAGGTTCTAAGGGTCTTGAAGAATTGCTGAAGCTGGCCTTGAACTTGCAATCCTCCTGCATCCTCCCAAGTTTCTGGAATTTTAATTGCTCATTCTACCACCAAGATATTAATTTCGGAGCTTCAGAAAATAACTTTGATTGTTCTAATGAATTGAATTAATTATTTTAATGTCTTTGCCTTTTGTTGCAGTTGCAGGATGTGAGTTTGAATCTCTGGAATGTCTACAGCAAGATGGATCCTGTGTCTCTGGAGAATTTGCTATCAGAAGTAAGGAGCCAAATAATGTTTAATTTATGAATATTTGTCAGCTCAATTATCCACTAAAAATATTTAACTTGAAGAAATGCTTTAATCAAAGAATAATTTCTTCCTAGAGTATTATCTTGAACTTGTTGGGAGTAGAAGGGAGTCTGGAAAAATAAATAGTACCTTTTCTATTCTGAAAGCCTTGCCTCAGGCAAAACCAAGACCTCTTACCTGGTCCAGGATTTAAGTTTTCCTTAAAGGCATTCTTTCTGTTTGACTGCACTTTAGTAAAATAATGCAGATGGTATATTTTTTGGTAGCATGAAAAGATACAAAGATGGGATATGGCTTAAAGGAATCAAGGACTAGAGCAGAGGCAGCAAGCTTGTTCTTAGAGGCTAGCTGGTAATATTTTTATGTTACATATCTCTGTTGCAGCTGTTTAGCAATGCCATTGTAGCTTGAAAGCAGCACCAGACAATGCTTAAACAAATGGGTGTGTCTGTTCCCAAGAAACCTTGTTTACAAAAATATGTGGCCTTCCTGTAGGCTGTAATTGCCATCTCCTCAGACATTAATTGTTTATGTAAACTTCCAAAAAACAATTTTCAGGGTGGGAGAAGCAATTTGCAATGAGAACTAACCCTATAGGAATTAGTAAATAACCCTATAGGAATGGTTGAGCAGTCAGTGTGTGTGTGTCTCAGTGGATATGGGTGGGTATGACTTGAGTTTTTAGTGGATATGACTTGAGTATTCAGTATGTTTGGCTTTTAAAAAAATTGGTCTGGGTTTACCTGCTAAATATCTGTGAGATGTCACTTTAATTTTGTACTGCTCAGTTAGAATAGGGTAGAACAGAATGTGTTTAGAGTTATTTTAGATAACTAGCAGTAATTTTTAAAGAGTACCTGAGACCAATGCATTGGGAGGGTGCATGAAGGAAATTAGAAAATCTGTTTTATAATATAAAATATTCCAGGATCATGAAGGATTTTTTTTCTCTGCCTCAAACTTGGAACTAGCTATTTCTTTAAGGGGCTACTTATTTTTATTTTTTCTTACTTTATTATTTAGAATAATATTTGGAGACCATGAGCTGGGCACTGGATATGGTTCATGCTACTGTGGGGATCATGGTTGTACTCCTTGTGTAGGCAGAGTGAGAAAATAAAAAAAGATAAGAAGGAAAGGAAAAGACAAAATTTCAAAAATTGTATTTCCATAGAATAGCAGAAAATTTGAATTTATATATCGAAAAAAGTATACCATCATTCAGAGAAAATTGCCCTAAAATGATTAACACGGAGACATATTTTAGTAAAATTTGTAGACTTCTCCCAAAAAAACTCAATAATAAAATGCTTTGGCAGCCAGGCACAGATAAAGGGGAAATTCAAGCTGGCCTTGGATTTCTCCACAGCAAATAAAAAGTAAGGTAATATCTATAATAAAGTCCTCAAGGAAAAAGTAATTCCCAAATTTTATATCGTGTTTCACATATAAAGGCAGAAAACCTTTTGAATGTACAAGTACTGAGACATATGGTTCTTGAGAGCTTCTGAAGAAACCAGATTTGAGTACAAATTTCAACAAACCAAGCTATAACTGGAAAAAATACAGCAAAAGGACTGGCAATGAGCATAGATAGATCTTTAATTATAGACTAAAACTGAAGCATTTTTGAGCATTATGATGATTCAATGCAATGTAAATGTATTAACCTTTCTTATATGAATGATAGTGAACAAATACTGCTTGTGCATTTGTTTTCAAAGACATTTTATTATTAAAACATCAAAGACTCACTGGGTACTGTGGTGTACACTTATAATCCAGCTACTTGGGAAGCTGAGGCAGGAGGATCACCAAATTTGAGGCCAGCCTGGACAACTTAGTGAGACACTTATCAAAATAAAAAATAAGAAAGGATGGAGATGTAGCTCAGTAGTAGAGCATTTGCTTAACATGTGCAAGACCTTTGATTCAGTCCCCAGTAGTGCAAAAAATAATAATAATTAAGAAGGAAAATAAAGATAAGAACACAGACTCAGACTCAGAAAATAGAATAAAACTAATGTACGGCCTAAAGAATTACAAAGCAAAACAACAGAACCTTGTTGGTCACTGCAGAAGCAATCTGAATTTTTTTTTTTTTCCAAACCCATTTCCTCCTTGTCCAAGAATTCACTATCATGAATTCTTTTTTGCAGAGGGGTGATGGTGGTACCAAGGTTGAACTCAGGAGCCCTCAACCACTGAGCCACATCCCCAGTCCCATTTTGTACTTTATATTTAGAGACAGGGTCTCATTGAGTTACTTAGTGCCTCACTTTTACTGAGGCCAGCTTTGAACTTTGTGATCCTCCTGCCTCAGCCTCCCGAGCTGCTAGGATAACAGGCATGCACCACCACGCCTAGCCATGAATTCTTTGGTAATCACCTCCTTATTTTTTCTTGCAGTTTTATCATCCAGTTTGCTTCCATTAACACATAGTTTAGCACTCTCTGCCTGTAGCGTGTGTATGTTTGGGGGGGGGGTGTATTTTTAACTGTAGGTTCTCCTTTACCTCTTTGGTCTCCGTATCCTCTTACTCTCTATTTGTTGAAAAAGCTATTCCATTTTTCTTCTAGTTGTTCTCAGTTGGGATTTTGTTGATTTATTTCCATGATGTACTTTAAATTTTCCTCTGTCTTTTGTATTTCCTGATAATTAGTCATTGAATCTAAAGGTTTATTCAGTTTCAAAATTGATACTTGGAGGAAAGTCTCCTTCCTAAAGGGTATTGTATTCTTTTAAGGGTTGAGCATGGGGGATTGAACTCAGAGACATTTTACCACTGAGTCACATCCCCAACCCTTTTTATATTTTATTTTAAGACAGGTTCTCACTAAGTTGCTTAGGGTCTTGCTAAGTTGCTGAGGCTGGCTCTGAACTTGCAGTCCTCCTGCCTCAGTCTCCTGAGCCACTAGTATTACAGGTGTGGTGTACCTAATGGGTATTGTATTCTTTATCAAAGAGCATATAAGGTTTAATTGATTCTCTTTTTCTTTGTTGAAACACCATTGCTATTCAATCATTATATGCCTAATTCACCATTGTACATTGGTGATATTTCAATTCTGTAATTCCTTCTTTATTTATATTCTAAAGAGAAATGTTTAACTTGCAATAAATAGTGGTGAGAAGTTCATATAAGACAAGCAGCATAAATGCCTGAACCTATCAGTTTTCAAAGTAAAGTTGGTTCCTTCAACATTCTTCATAAATAACCAATTAAGTTTTAAAAATATACATATAAATTTGAAGTCATAGATTTAAACGTATTTGACACATTTATATTCATTGAAGATATCATCTTTAGTGATTCCATCTTTGGGTAGTGAACTCCCTTCAGACTGGTTCATATGTACTTTTAACATAATACTGATAGTCCTTGATAACTTCCTTGCCAGCTACTATGATGAGTAGTTGCCACAGTCTGGCTGGGCACAATCAGGAGCCACTTGTCAAAAGAAACGAACTTTAATTTAGAACCACACACGCCAAACAAAACAGCTCCTCAGGAAAAACCCTCAGAGCCCAACTGCCACCACCGGCTTCCCACAAGCCTCTCCCCAAAACCACAAGCCTCCCCACCTCCCACAATCCTCCTGCTTTGAGGCCGATTGGCTGGGTTGCATGGGCGGAGCCAAAAAAGTCCCCCAATGAGCAGCTCCGTGGTCTGAAAGGGCAGGGAAACAGCCCAATGAGCATCACTGCAGAGGAGCCAATCAGCTAGATGTTGCTAGGGCCGCTGTGAGCCAATCATCAGCTGGCAGTCTGAAAGTTTTCTGGGGCCCCTTGGCTGTGGCTCTCAACAAGTAGTAGCTGATAAGTTTAAGATGTTTCAGGCACAAATTTTGTACTATTCCTATCCCAGACCTGGACTTAGTCTTTTCTCTATTAAGTTCTGGGTTTTTTATTTGCATTGTAAATAGTATTTCAGCACCACAATCTGCATGCTAGGAATGTCATTGCTATTTTTTTGGTCATTGCTTCTAGATCTCTCCAGTGGACAGCTAGGAAATTCTCTATCATGTAGGGTGTGTGTGTTTGTGTATATAGTCATGTGTCAGTTAACAACAGGGCTACATTCTGAGAAGTGTATCATTGCACAGTTTTCATTGGGCAAACATCATAAATTTATACAAACCTTGGTGGTATAGCGTATTACTCATCTAGAGTATATATACTATCATGTATGTGGTTCCTCATTAACCAGAACATCTTTATGTGGTGCATTGATTGAATATACATATATGTATATTTATATATGCTTTATCCCATATTCTATAGAAGATATTCAGAAAATATCAACATTTTCACCTAAATGATTACTGAAATTTATATGTGTATCATATGTGTATATATGTATGTGTGTGTGTACACACACACACACACATACAAGCACACACAAATATCCATCTACAAATATTCTGGGCTCTAAGTAGAGAAGCCATTAGTGAGATTGATGTTTTTAGTAAGTATTCCCAGCAGAGGTTTATTTTATTTTATGTAGTGGTAGAGTCAGTGCATAGCTAGCATAGAGCCTATAGGTCTGAGTACTTATGCATCATCCACTGGAAGAGAAGAATGGAGGAGAGCAAAGATCTAACCTACAAAGCTTGTTGTAGTAAACAGAATGCCTAATGAGAGCAAGGTGTTAAGCTAGATGCCTGACATATGTACCCTTACACCATGCAAGATAGGCAGTGAAAATAACTATACAGTTGAAGTACAAATTATTAGCAACTTCAAAATAAGGGCATAGGTATTACTTGAGGAGTATCTTAAGCAAATCAGTTGGCATGTTCTTTGTTAGCTGATGATTGCTTAAAAGCTAATAGCAAAACCCAATGTGTGGTGGTTGGGAACAAGAATGAGTGCAAAGAGGAAACTGAAAAGCTGATGGAACGGAGTAGAGAGTGGAAGCTGCACATAAAGGAGTCAACCAGGAAGGATGTAGAGTTCTCAGTATTCACATGGCTACTAAGAAGAAGATTGGAGGGAGAAGAGGGCTCTGTGTCATTCCTGGCCCCACTGAACTTCTAACTAAGGTCAGCTAATTTGTACTTGAACAGAGCTTTATGATGTGTGACCTTTTGGGCACTTGGACATAGCACCATCTTTTAGGTGCTTCATAAATAAGTTCTTCCCTCTATCAAAGGTTGATAAATTAATATGCTCGAGGGTCATTACTGTTTTTTTTTAAATTAACCTTTTACAATTCAGTGGTATTTAGTAAGTTTACAAAATTGTGCAACCATCACAACAATCAAATTTTAAAATATTTTTATAACACAAAACGTTTCTATATGCGCACTTGCAGTCATTCTGTATCCTTACTCCAAGCCATAAGCAATTACTAATCTGTGTTCTGTCTCTATATTTCATATGAATGGACTGTATTCTTGTTGGTCTTTTTGCATCTGGATATTGCATATAAATAGACCACATTCCTGGTAGTGTTTTGCATCTGGCTTTTTTCACTTGACCTCATATTTTTAAGATTTTCTATGCAAAATAAATAAAAATTAAAAATAAAATAAAAAGGGAAAAAATAAAGATTTGTGTGTGTGATAGCATCATCAGTTATGTGCTATAATCTTTTAATCAGCGTATATAAATATATGGTATTTTGAGATCAGTAGCAGTTTTATGGCTCTGGTTTTCTAAAGTACCTCTGTTTCATAATATTATCTCTTTAATTTTCTCCCCAGGATTTGGTTGCTTTTGAACATCAGTGGACTAGCTTCTTCGCTAATTTTGATACAGAAATTCCTTTCCTGCTAGAACTTTCAGAATCTCAGGCAGGCGAGGTATGTTAAGGGAAGGGTCAATGAAAGAAAGAATTATTAATTTATTTGTTGTTTTTATTAAAATTTTTTTTCCAAAATACACTATCAATCCTATATTATTGTTGTTTTGTAATTTGATTGTCATTTTCTTAAACTGTATTATATGCCATAAAGAAATTCACCCCCCTGCCAATCTCTATGTAAAAAGTTGTTTGGGTGCTGTGGATATAGCTCAGTGATAGAGCATTTGCCTAGCATGAGCAAGGCCCTGAATTTGATCCCCAGTACTGCAGAAGGGGTTGAGGGTGTTTTGTCTTTTTTCCTGTGCCACCTTCTCTACTGGATGTATATTCATTTTTCAGTATGGTGGTGCCTTTGTCAGCCAGAAATTCTGTTGACCACTAGTTAATAATTTCTTCACATATCTCTTTCAAATGTCAAACTGTCTTTTTTTAACATTTATTTTTTAGTTGTAGTTGGACTCAATACCTTTATTTTATTTATTTATTTTTATGTGGTGCTCAGGGCCAAACCCAGGGCCTAGGTTTGCTAGGTGAGTGCTTTACCACTGAGCTACAACCCCAGCCCCCAAACTGTCTTTTATAAGCAAACAACACTAGTAGAAGTTACCAGTTTCAGACTAAAACACTCCATGAGTAAATTAAAGTATCTAGATTGAGAACCAAAAAGTATAGACAAAAAAAAACTGTGCCTTTGTGTGTATATGTCACAGAAATTAGTCAATGTGGATAGAAGAACTCTCCTGAATTGGACAGGGCAGAGTGGTGGAAAGGGTGGGGGATGGGAATGGGAAAGACAGTAGAATGAATTGGACATAAATTTCCTATGTTCATATATGAACACATGACCAGTGTAATTACACATCATATATAACCACAAAAAGTGGGAAGTTATACTCCATGTATGCATGATATGTCAAAATACATTCTATTGTAAAGTATAATTAAAAAGAACAAATTTTTTTAAAAAACAACAACTCTCCTGAGCTTGCCCTTGAGTCCACCTTGGGCTTTTACCACCAGTACTCAGATCTCTGGTGGCCCAGAACAATCCCTCCTTCTCCTCCTGATCACTTGGAGCAGGAGTTGATTTTTTTGTGGGTTGGTGGTGGTGCTGGGGTTTGAACCCAGGGCTGCCCACATGTTGGGTAAGTGCTTTGCTACTGAACCACACCCCAGCCTCTGGAGTTGATCTTAGTGTGAATTTTCTTTTACTTATGTTGTAAACCCTAGAATATATTGTTATTGTTGTTTTAAAAAATTATCTATTTTAAAGGTTTACTGAATAAGAAAAATATCTTATGTCTTTTTCCATGATGTTACTTTCTCTGGAGCTCTTTCTTCCTTTGTGTAGACCTGGATTTCCATTTGGTATCCTATTTCCCTAAAGACTTTTCTTTAACATTTTTTTTGTAGTTCACATCTTATTCTGATGAAATCTTTCAGTTTTTGTATGTCTAGGAAAAAAAAAATCTTGATTTTATTTTTGAAAGATACTTTTGCCATGTATTGATTCTAAGTTGACAGTTTTTTCCTTTCCAACATCTCAAAAGATGTTGTTCTACTGTCTCTCACTTTGTTACTGATAAGTCTTTTTTAAAATTTTATTTGTTCTAATTAGTTATACAGGACAGTAGAATGCATTTTGACATATTGTACACAAATAGAGCACAACTTCTCATTCCTCTGGTTGTACATGGTGCAGAGTCACTCTAGTAGTGTAATCATACATGTATATAGGGTAAATGTCTCTCATTCTACCATTCTTTCTGTCTCCACAGCCCCACCTTGTTACTAATAAGTCTTTCATCCTAATCTTTGTTTCTCTGTACATAGCAGAGAAAGTCCCTGTAGCAGATTTTTAAGATTTTCCCTTTATTACTGGTTTTGAGTAATTGGATTATGATATGCCTTGCTGCAGTTTTCTTCATATTTCTTGCATGTGGGTTTTGTTGAGCTTCTTTTCTTAGTTTGGTGGATTTATAGTTTTTGTCAAGTTTGATAATTTTTTGTACATTATTAGTTCAAATAGTTTTTCAGCTTCCTGTCTCTTTCCTTCCAGTTATTCCTAAATTAGACCTAAAAATTCTCACACACTTCAGTGGTGCCCTTCAGCTTTTTGCATTCTTTTTTTCTTTCTCATTACTGTGATCCTAAGAATGAGAGATATTAAAAAAGAGATAACTCAGAAGTGTCACTCTCTAGACCTGGGAATGTAGTTCACTGGTAAGAGTATTTGCCTAGTATGTATGAGGCCCTGCTGGTTCAATCCCTGGCACTACCAAACCCACCAACCAAGAAAAAAAGAGATATTCATTAATCCCTGGCACTACCAAAAAAAAAAAAAAAAAGTGTCACTTTTGTTTCTGACAGGTGACAAACCTTTTTAATTTCTGATTCATCTCTTCTATTTCCTTTGCACAAATGAACAGATATGTATTTTTATATCTTTCTTGCATTGAAGAATAACAAAGAATCATTTCCACTTTGCTTTCTTCATTTAACAATGTATCTTGGAACTCTTTCCAAATCAGTTTGTTGAGATTTTTCTCCTTCTTTGCTACAATTTATAATAAATACTCTATTTTGAAAATGAATCTTAATTTATTCAGGTACTCTCTTATGTATATATATTTAGGTAGTTTTAAACAGTCTGCCATTTGCAAACAGTGCGTAATAAATAACTTCATGCTCATCTTTCCATAATGTTACACACACACACACACACACACACACACACACACCCCTCTAGGAATGGGATTTCTGGGTCAAAAGGTAAGTACATACACAATTATGTTAGCTATTGCCAGATCCCCCTTAAGAAGGATTGTACTAATTTTCATTCTTAATGATATGAGAGTGCCTGTTGCTCCATAGCCTCACCAATAGAATATAGGGTCATACTTTTAAATTTTTTCACATTCCTAGGCTGGGGATGTGGCTTAGTAGTAAAGCACTTACATAATGTGTGGGAGGCCCTGGATTCAATCCCTGTATCACAAACATACACACATACAAAAATTGTTTCCACAGTCTTATAGATGAGAAATGGTATCTCAGTGTTGTTTTAATTTAGGTTTCTCTGCTTATAAGTAAGTTGAACATCTTTTATATGTTTAGAGTTATTTATATTTTGTTTTATGTCTTCTTTTCTTCCCAATTTAATATTGATGCAGTTTTTTTTCCTATACTAGGGATTGAACTCAGGGTCTTGCATATAGATAGGAAGTGCTCTACCATAAGCTGCACCCCCAGTCCTGGTACAATATTGACTGAACAAAAGAGCACAGTTTTTTTGTTGTTATTTAAGGTCTTTTGTCCCTTAGTTTTAAGGAGTTCTTTTTATATATTTCAAATATTTCTTCCATGTTAATCACACTTGCTTTACTTATGGAAAGTATTTTTATTTTTATGTAAATATCAATCTTTTATCATCTCTAAATTTTAAATCATTGTACAGAGAAAGGTTTTTTAATTTTTTTATTATTTTAATTTTTTTAATATACTATAGTAGTTGGATAATTTTGACAAAATAATACATGCAAGGAATTTTATTCCAATCTCCATCAGAGAAAATCTTTAATTGAAGGTTAAAGAGTAATTCACCATCTAGTATTGCATGGTTTAATGTTTTCCATTTAGGTCACTAATCCACAAGGGATTTTTGATGTGTATGGTGTGAGATACAGATCTAATTTTATCTTTTTTCTCTATGATTACTCAGTTAAAATCCCAACTATGTAATTCGCTAGCTCTGTGGTCTTGGTCAAGTCAATTAACTTTTCATGTCTTAGTCAACTCATCTGTAGAGAGGAGATGATGATACTATGAAGCTCATAGGTTGTTATTAGGATTACTTAAAAGTAAGTAATTGAAGTGTCTTTCACAGTTCACATGGGAAGCCCATAATAAATTTCAACTATTATTATTTTAAAAGTGCTATTATAAATTAATAACACAAATGCCAAAATTCTAATTGATAAATATCTAAACTATATATAAGTAACAAAGAGAAATCCATATGGCCACTGAACATATCAAAAATATTGTATTTCATTAAAAAATCAAAGGGATAGGTGGCACATGCCTGTAATCCCAATGACTCAGGAGGCTGAGGCAGAAGGATCTCGAGTTCAAACTAGCCTCAGCAACCTAGTGAGGCCCTGAGCAACTCAATAAGACCCTGTTTCCAAATAAAATATAATAAGGGCTGAGGATGTGGCTCAATGATTAAGCACCCCTGAGTTCAATACCTTGTACCCCGCCCCCAAAAAAATAGTCAAAAGGATATAAAGGGCTGGAATTATGACTCAGTGGTAGAGCATTTGCCTCACATGTGTAAGGTACTGGGTTCAATTCTCTGCACTGCATATAAATAAATGAATAAAATAAAGGTCCATCAACAATTTTAAAAAATCTGAAAAAAAATTTAAGAGGGATATAAAATAGAACATAGTGATCATTGTGGCATTGATCAATGTGGCAAATCTCTTTAAACCATTCCTTAGGCAGTGCTGATGATGAGACCCAGAAATAGACACACTTGGATATTGTAAGTGAAGGTGTACATTGACAAAACTCTTTTGAAAAACAGTTTGGTGATATAGTTCTGCCTATTTGTTTTAGAGCTGTCTTAGGAAATATTCAGAGCTCCAAGTTATTCATTACACTATTAATCTTGATATAGAAGAGTTAGTAACAATATAAATTTCCAAGAATAGAGGACTACTTAATACACTTAAGTATAATCATATAGAGTCTATGAATGTGCCATAGAAAAAAGATTTGAATGGCCAGGTGTGGCAGCACATCTTTCTAATCCCAGTTACCCATCTCAGTGGGAAGGATTGCAAGATTGAGGCCAACCTGGGCAACTTAGTGAGACCCTGTCTCAAAAATAAATAAATAAATAAAAATAAAAAATACAAAGGACTGGGGATGTAGCTCAGTGGTAAAACACTTGCCTGACATGCACAAGACCATGGGTTCAATCCCCAGTACTCTCCCACCCCCCTCAAAAAAAGAAGGAAAAAAAGATTCAAAGAAAATGTACCAAAATGTTAATAGTTCTTAGAGATTACAATGGTGGTTTTTATTGTGTTCTGCAATGAACATATACTGTTTAAATAATTGGAAAAACACACAACAAGTGTTCTCTAGAGGTATTATAATTGCTGTTTGAAAATTTGAACTCTCTGGACACTAGACCCCGTGTGTTTGCTTTGGTTAGTGTTTAGCCTAATGCTGTGTATCCAAAAGCTGAGAATTATTTATTTGGTTTCCCAGGAAACTTCTGTCATTGTACTTCTGTGTTCCTTGGATTCTCCCTTGTTGCTCATTTTAAATTAGCTTACTATAATTAGTACACATTCATGTTTTGGAAATTTATAAAAAAAACTTCTTATATATAAGAGGAAAAATCCCTACAAGATTAGCAATTTGGACAATAGATGGTGGTTGGTTCTGTGTTCTTTCAATAAAAACTATAAATTTGAAAAGAAAATTTTTCTTTACTTTTGCAGCCTTTTGTCTTTTTTCTTCACTTTTTTTTTGCTATGTGTCCTCCAATTAATGTTGCTATCCACCACACATATCCTTCCATATTCTTAGAATAATCTACTGACATCTCTCTTTCTCACACATACATTCTACGTGCTCTCTTGAGTGTGTGTGTGTGTGTGTGTGTGTGCGCACATATATACATGTATGAAGGATTTCTGATTATTTTATAAAATTGTGCTCTTATATACAATATTGTTTTCTTTTTAGCCATTCAGAAGTTATTTCAGTCATGGAATGATCTCCAGCCATATAACTGAAAACAGGTAAGGTTCCCAAGGGAAGAAGTGTGAATGGTGATAGCAAAAGTGGAACTTACAAGCAAGGTGAAATTTGGGAGCATTCAATTAGAGAACCTAGAGTCAGAAGAGTATGGCTTTAGTCATCACAGGGTAAGAAATCCTGTACCCTGTAAATTCATTGGTTTCACCGCTTTTTTAAAGAATATGTATTTTATTTTTCTGTAATTTTATAGTAAACTAGCATTTTGTAGAGGGGAGTTACTGGGGATTGAAATCAAGGTCACTCAACCTCTGAGCCACATCCCCACCCTTATTTTGTAAGGTCTCACTGAGTTGTTTAGTGCTTTGATTTTTGCTGAGACTGGCTTTGAACTTGCAGTCCTCCTGCCTCAGCCTCCTGAGCCTCTGGGATTACAGGTGTGCGCTACCATGCCCAGGTAAACTAGCTTTAAATGCATTAGAGCCTGCTAAAATCTAAATGAAGGGATTTTGATTCCTTGTCCCTAGCTTAGGAAAACAAGAATAAAAATTCAGGGACTGGGCAGGAGAACAATAGTGGTTTGTGGGGAGTAAAAGGGTCTCCTCATGAAGAAGAGGGAAACAGGAAGTGTTCCAAAGTTTTTCCTTCATTTTTGTCATGATCAATAGGAAGTGCTTCCTCTGATGGATAAAGAAGATAGATCTTGGGCTGGGGATGTGGCTCAAGCAGTAGCATGCTCGCCTGACATGCGTGTGGCCCACGTTCGATCCTCAACACCACATACAAAGATGTTGTGTCCGCCGAAAACTAAAAAATAATAAATATTAAATATTAAATAAATATTAAAATTTTAAAAAAGAAGAAGATAGATCTTTACTCTCTTCTTCCCTCAATCACAGTCCACTCTAACAGTAAAACAAAATACCCTGGGGGGATTCAGACTCATTTTGTTCTGCCCAAAATATCACTTAGCTTGAATTAAGTTTCAGAAGAAAAATCAGTCATGTTTAGTTTTCAAAGCCCCTATTTACTTGATGCCTAAGGTACTAACTATTTCAAGGGGAATGAAAAGAAATGCAAAGACTTTTCTATACAACACACATTAAGAGCACTTTAAGGAAAGGGTGGGGGATAAAGAAAACTATCTATTAAAATATATCTCCCATCAAAAATATTTACTATAATATATCAAGGAAGAGAAGTACATGGTTAAGAAAATAAATAAACCAAATATGTTTTCTGCTCTCATGGAGTTTGTAGTATGCTGAAGAAATAAGACCTTAATTAAATAAACTCACATAGAAATATATTATTGTGAACTCTGATTAGTGCCATGAAAGAGAAAAGAACATTGATGGTACTGTGAAGAGAGTCTGGCCTCCTCTGGGAGAGATGTGAACAATGAGTAGAGATAATTGGGAGAAGGGAAAAGATGAGAGGTCCTGAAACAAGAACATAAAGGACATAAAAAACATGAAATATCCTGGAATATGGGAGTTGGAGGAGAACTGCCTTGCATGGAAATGAAGACATCGACTAGACCTTACAAACCCTTGTTTGCCATTTGCAAAATTTTGGTACTTCTCCTGAGAATAACAGGTAGTGAATGCTTTGCATATCTAAAAGTTTAATATCACAACCAGGTGCAGTAGTGCGTGCTTGTAATCCCAGTAACTCAGAAGGCCGAGGCAAGAGGATCCAAATTCAAGGCCAGCCTCAGCAACTTAGTGAGAACTTCAGACACTTAGCTTGGCCCTTTCTCAAAATAAAAAATAAAAAGACCAGGAGATGTAGCTCAGTGGTAAAGCCCCCCTTGGTTTCAATTCCCAGTACAAAGTATATATATTATCACTGTTGGAGAATAGGTTATAGAAGGGTAAGGGTGGATGCAGTGAACCAGGAAACATTGCAGTTATTAAAGGAGGAAAGGATGGCAGCAGGGATTAGGGGTTATGGCCATGTGGTTGGAGGAAACTAAATAAATGGTTTTCAAGAGGTTGATTTGATTTAGGGGGTGAGGAAGCACAAATCCTTTGGGTTTGCCATAGTATAATTCATGTGAAAGTCACTTGGTGACTTTTACAACAGCTCTATAAATGAAATGACTGAGGAGGGGTTGATTAGAGTGAATGAAGAGTGAGCAGAAAATGGGAGGGAGGTAGAATTCAGCCAAGAGAGAGGGAGTAAGAGGATGGACAGATAATGAAACTATTTGCAACCCTCCTCTTATCCTTTCCACCTGAAGTTACTCAGAAGTTGGTAATTGCTCTATTGTCTGCCTAGTCTGATCACAGCCACTATCATGCTTTAAAACCTATATTTCTATTATAATACTGTCATATAAAACTAGGGTTTTGCTTCATCACTATATTATGCACATAAACTTTTAAGGAACTGTTCCTCAAAAGGTAGGTTAAGTTGAAAATATAAGTCTAGTGTGGATATAGTTATGTTCTTCAATGACTAATCCCTTTGGGTCATTAGTAAGAGTCGCTTGGCATCCCTTCCCAATCAGTCCAGGACATTAGGTTCAGGACATCAATCAGAAAAATCCAAGAATTCACTCAGGTCATAGGAATCTGTTTTCTAATCACATCTTTTTCTTGCTGCTCTAGCCCTAATCGGCAGCCATTTGTACTCTTTGGTAATCACTCAACTCGAGAAAACTTGAATGCTGGAAACTTTAACTTCCCTTCTGAAGGGCACTTGGTACGCAACACTGGTCCTGGTGGGAGCTTTGCTAAACACATGGTGAGTGGCTGGACTGCCTGGTGCCTGCTGGACAGTTAGTGCATTTATTTAACCCTGAGTCTGACGTTTATTTTAAAGTGAAAAATGATTGGAAACTGTATGTATATGTTTTATGTATATATAAACACATTTATATTTATTTTAAAATATATAACATTTATTTATAAAATATAAAAATAAATATACAATATTTATTAGTACTAGATGTGATTTGAAAACATTTAACTTTGAAGTATTTGAAGTAAAAAAGATTAAAAGCAATTTTAATAGTCACACCAAGCCTAAATTTGTGATGTTCTGGCTTATATTTAAGATCATAAACCTTGATGATCTTTGTTCTCTTATTGAGAGTGCCAGAGAGATTTCTGCATTTGATAGTATGTTGTCTGCTACATTCTTTAAAAGAGATCATTGAACTTGAATGTGGGGACTCATAAATGTAAACATTTATGCTATCTTAATGGAATGTTAAATATTTTTAAAATGTTTCTGGCTATCAGGAAAGCCAGAGTTGTAGGTGTTGTTATTTTTTAAATTTAGACTTGGAGAATGTGTGACCCAGGTGATATAGTTTAGTCTCTCTGAGTTATGATTCTGGAACTGCCTCTGAGCCAGCTCAGGATATAGAGCTACCAGAAAGGATGGGCTTCAGGACTTTGCTGTTCTGTCAATGGAGGCTCAGACCCCATTTTAAATCCCTGAGTAGTTTTGGAATACACAGAAAATGCCAGATGGAACAGGCTTCTCTGTGTAATATTATTTGTTGAATACACAAATTAAATAAATATAGGAGACGATTCTGACTTCTGCTTCTACAAAGATGGTGTATAGTGTATACATGCTTTATCTCTCATTAAATACAACTAAAAACATGGGACCTTTCATATAAAACAAACACAAATATACTCTGAAAGGTACAGAGAAGGAAGCAGGATGGCTAAAGACTTCAGGAAATAAGATGGTAGTGAATTCTTATGTTTTTTATTTCCATATATCCAGAGTGGATATTTAAGAATATCCAGATATATTCAGAGGATCAGAAAAGGTACAGCCTAGTAAGACAGAAAACTTTAAGATAATAACTGCTCTATATACAAGCCCTGCAGAAAAAGTACACCTCTGCCCCAACCCTCCCCACACAGGCTGAGTGGAGACCCTAGATTTCCTTGTTTGCCAGATTGGGGTGAGCTGCCATCCCCACCCATATTCTGCTCAGGATAGTGTCATAGAAGGCCCAGTGGGGAGCCTGAACTTCATAGTTATTTTAAATTCTCTGTCCAGGGCTGGAGACATAGCTCAGTGGTACAGCATTTGCATAGCATGTGTAATACCTTGGGTTTCATCCCTAGGACTGCAAAATAATAACAATAATAGCTTCTTCCACCCCACAATATAGCAAGAGGGCTCTTCTTGGGGCAGTATCACAGGTGGCCAATGGGGAATCATATGACTTTTATCACCACTGAGCAGTAGCAAGGCCCCTTCCTTACCATAGTGTTTGTTACCCTCCAAACTCTGGGATGGTATCAGCTGAGGCAGAGTGGGGAACCTGAGCTCCCCCTGATATAAACCCCCCCAACATGCGCATGCCAATTGTCAGTAGCAGCTGAGTGGAGAACCTGGATTTGCACTCCTACTGGGTAGTAATGAGGAGGCAGATCCTCCTGCTCACCACTGACAGACACAGTGTTGGAGGAGGCCTTCTAACATGTTAAGATTTCATTAAGATTCAGAGAAGACTCTCGGTTTCAGCTCTGATGTGTAAAGAACTTGGAAATTATCCCTATATTTATAAGAAAAAAGCCAAATAAATTGAAAATCAATGACTTTTCTTGGATTCATCAGAGAACTAAGGTCTCAAGGCAAACTGCCACTCTGAAATCTAGAGAGATAGGTAAATCCAGAGAATTACAGCCAGTGTCTCCGTACCTGCAGTAGAAACCACTGATTTTACAAACTTGTGGGAACACTTAAATGGTAATTGTAGTGAAATTCTGCAGGTAGAAAGTGGACTAGTGTGAAAGTGAGAAACTCCTGGGGGACATAGGATTGTCACATTCCATGGGTTATATTAGTTGAACCCTTGCAGGTTCACATGGTAAAGAGCAAAACAAACCAATTCTCTTATGACTGGTAGGGGAAAAAGAAGAGTAACTGTTTTGAAATATAAGCAAAATAATAACAAAAGCCTCAATAGCAAAACCTACATTCCAGGATAAACAATTTTACCCAAACCTTATTCCATTGGAGAAAAGGGCATTTCTTTGATCTGTCACACTCTGGCCTTCCTGACTCACCTAGGAGAGAGGGAAAAGAGCTAAGAAACACTTGTAAAGGTCAAAGCCTGCATATACAGGCCCATTCAAAGACTGAGATTTAATCGCAAGATTATAGAATGCTTTTCCTACCCCATTACCTTAGCACCACTGCAGCAGGTCTGCAATTTAATAGCAGGTGGTTAATAGCTGCAAGGCACAAGAGTATATAAGGGGGAATTCATAGGGAAACCCAAAGATAACAAGAGAGACAGATCTAAGGACAGTATAGGAATCAAAACACCTGGCACTTACAACTACAGAAAACATTGAACAGAACCCAGCTCTTAGGCATGTTAACATAAAATCTCACATTTAAAGACTTATTTCCCTTGGTTTCTATTATTTAATATATCATGTCTGGCTTTTAACAACAACAAAAAAAATCACAAAGTATTCTAAAAGGCAATAAAAAACATGGTGTGAAAAGCTAATGTGACCCTCAGAACCAACTTGTATCTCATATTTTATAATTTTCGGACAAAAATAATAATGATGATGATAATAGCTATTATTATTATTATCATTTTGCAGTCCTGGGGATGGAACCCAGTGCCTCATACATGCTGTGCAAATGCTGTACTACTGAGCTATGTCTCCAGCCCTGGACACAGAATTTAAAATAGCTACGGTTAATATGTGAAGGGCTCTAATGGAAAAGTAGGCAATATGTAGGAGTAGATGAATAATGTTAAGCAGGAAGATGGAAATTAAGAAAGAATCAAATGGAAAGGCTGGAACCAAAAAAAGTTATAATGAAAATTAAAAATGCCTTTGATGGATTTATCAGTAGATTAGTCATATCCAAGGGAAGAATCAGTGACCTTGAAAATGATGAATCAGTAAAAACCTCTCAAACTAAAATGTAAAGAGAAAAAACAGTTGTATTTCAAGGTAATATATTCATCTTTTCCTTTTTTGTGTGACTTGTGAATAATTTACAATTAATAAGTGCCATGTAAAATGTGTAAACCCAGATAACTTAAGCAATTTTACATTATATATGAAATTGTCTCAATTTACTTTTTTAAGTAAATCTGATGTTAATATGTGCTGACTCAAATTTATGATATGACCTAAGGAAGCAGATTTAAAACACATGGCACCTTAAAAAAAAAAACCTTTAGTATGGAAGAACTTGGAAACCCAAGAAACATGCTTTAAGGAAATAGCCCTAGATTTAAAAAAAAAATGTATTAGCCAACAGTTATGAGTAGGTACCATGAGTTTTCCTTCATTGTCATTGGCAATATTGATCACATTCACTATACTGAATATTAAAGAGAAGAAGTTCTCATTTCAAATCTGTACCTTGGATTCATAGTATTATGGTAAGATGCTATGTATTCTCATGTGACTTCCTTAATTAGAAGAAATGATTAGTCATGAATATTTAGCTATTTTTTACATATTATACTAATACATTCCTTTTTTCTTATGATGGCATGTTTTTTATTTCGTACCTGCTCTCCTAGGAACCTACACGAGATATTGGACATCCATTTATATCTAGAGATATTTATATAGATATAAATGCACATCTTTTTAAAAATTTTTTTGTTTGTTGTAGATGGACAGCATGTCTTTATTTTGTTTATTTTTATGTGGTGCTGAGGATCGAACCCAGTGCCTCACACATGCTAAGCAAGCACTCTGCCGCTGAGCTACAGCCCCAGTCTATAAATGCACATCTTAACAGGAAAGAATAATAAAAATCTTAAAACCTAGAAAAACTTACTTTCTTTTCTACAAGGGCTATATTCAAAGATGAAATCCAAATGAAGGTGGGGACCTGGGTTTCCTGATTTTATAGCTGCCCCATGCCTCTGCCTATCTTGTGGGCAAAGGTCTTTACATGAAAGCTCTGGATTGAATATTAATGACCGTCAAAACACCTTTTATGTTTTTCCTTCTGAATTATGAATTCATTAGCATAATGAGCTAATTGAGTAGCTGACAGCAGCCTCACATTATAGCCAAGAGTGGAACAGGGAGACCCTACATATACACACAGAAAAGATACTTTTGGAAAAAGCAGAATTAAAGGTGATCTTCTCCTCTGTTTCTTTAAAAAATAACGTATCAAGCCAGGTGCAGTGGTGCCTACCTGTAATCTCAGTGGCTCAGAAGACTGAGATAGTAGGATTGCAAGTTCAAAGCCAGCCTCAGCAATGGGGAGGTGCTAAACAACACAGTGAGATCCTGTCTCTAATAAAATACAAATATTGGGCTGGGGATGTGACTCAGTGGTTGAGTGAGAGCTCCTGAGTTCGATCCCTGGTACCCCCCAAAAAATAATAATAATAAATCAGTTTTGGTTAAATAAGCTTTATTTCCACTGATTATATGCTTTTTATTTCTCTAGCAGTTCATACTTAAGTCTCTGCTACTTTTCTTATTTTTAATATTTTCTGACATGCAGGTAGCACAGTGTGTCTCACCAAAAGGACCTCTTGCATGTTCAAGGACCTACTTTTTTGGAGCTACTCACATTCCTTACTTGGGTAAGTCCTTGGAAATCATCTCATTAACTTACCTAGTAAATGGTTTCTCCCATGGATGAGAAGTTAACATAAAATTCACTACTTTGCTTAGAAACTTATGATACCAATCTGTGAGACTCTTACTCCCTCTCTGGGGAGTTGCTGTGTCTAACATATTACTCACAGAATATTTCAGAAGCAAAATCATTGGTTCAACCTATGGTTTAGAGATCTAACCCTGTGTAAGACCCTGGACTCGGTGTCAGAAGAAAGGTCAAATAAAGAAGATCTAGTTTGAGTTAGTAGGAGATATGGGCTACATGGAATATGAATGGCTATATGGAATATGAATGACTTAGCTGGGTGAATACCTGACTGTTGTGAGAAATGTGACATGGGGCCATAATAGAAGAGTACCCACAAGCTGGGCACATGATGTGGCTTTATCCAAAAAGGCCAGGCTGACTAGAGCCTCTCTGCTTTCTGGGGTATCCAGAAACTGCAGGCATAACTTAAAGAATGAATGTGTTGCCAGGCGCAGTGGTGCACGCCTATGGTCCCAGCGGCTCCAGAGGCTGAGGCAGGAGGATCTCAAGTTCAAAGCTAGCCTCAGCAATGACAAGGCACACTGTCTCTAAGTAAAATACAAAATAGGGCTGGGGATGTGGCTCAGAAGTTGAGTGCCCCTGAGTGCAGTCCCAGAAACCCCCACCCCTTTAGTTCAATCCCAGATACCCCCACCCCCACAAAAAAAAAAAAATGAATGTGGACCCAGAAGATAGAGTACATCAGAAGCCAGATTTTTTTCCTGGGTATTGTCAAATAAGCCAGGAAACTCTGGAAAAATGCCCTTCCCTTTAGGAAGTCCCAATAAAAAGTCTCATTCCTATAAAAAAATTATCTTGAGTCAGATAATTAATAAAATTAAGAAAGAAACAGAACTGAGCCTGTTTACCTCAAAGTTTTAAAAGTATAAAAATTCTGGAGCCTAAGATTCTGCACATCTCTGATGTTTAGGTAGTGATGCTAAGTAGGATGTAAAAGTAGGAAATGTCAGGGTGACGGTCCAGGAGGATAGTGGAAGAAGCCAGGTTCCATTGTTGTTTTGTGCTTATACTGTATTTAACTTAAAAGAAAAATAAATGTAGTTCTTGGTAATGTCTTCAAATTAAATTAAGCAGGTGAGATGGAACACTGTTGTAATTCCAGCAACTCGGGAGGCTGATGCAGGAGGATCAAAAGTTGGAGGCCAGCCTCAGCAACTTAGTGAGACCCTCTCTCAAAATGAAAAAAACAAGAAGGACTGGGGTTATACCTCAGTGGAAGAGCACCTCTAGCTTCAATCCTGGGTACCACAATAGATAGATGTATAGATAGATAGATAGATGGATAGATCATTTCCACTTCCTTATATAGTGTTTGCATATTCTGTGTTCTTGTCACATTCTTAATACATGTGTTCTTTCACAGGTGGCAGTGACAAGCTGCCCAAGAAAACTGAACAAATGTAAGTCTTCATATTTGTCTTATTTGTGTACTTCCTATAGAGATTATCAGTGATTAGGACATCTAGTTATGAAGTGAACATTTCTACATAGTTTCCCAGGTGGTCCCCAGCACCTGTCTGTCAGCTTGGAATCCATATCAGAGGACCCTGCCAGCTTTGCCATCTGCTCTTTTTTCTGGAGCTCCAGAGTCTTCCTATCTGCACACCATGCATTTACATGACGTAACTTCCCTTCATATGTTTTCTATATAGTGCATTTTTAATTTGGGGCTTATCTAAAAGTAAAATAATCTGAAATACATTGGAAGATTCTTTGAAATTCCATGTAGCCTGAGAAGTGTGTTCTCTGGACTTGACACTCAGGCTGGTGAAACATCTGCAGTCTGAATCTCAGTTGTGCAACTTTAGAAAGGCCTTACCTAGTGATGACCCTTCTCAGCAGAAAACCAAAGAAAGGAAATAAACTCATTAATGTTGAAACTGCTGAATTTCAAAAAGTATACTCCTTCAGAAATACGATCATAATAAACTTCTTCTGACCACTAGTACTTCTTAAAGACCAGCAGTGACAAGTCAAAGAATTATCTAAGGATCTCTTTAAAATATAGGTTCCCCTTACTCATTCTCATAACCACTGAATCAGAATCTCTAGGGCAGGGCCCACAAACCTGAATTGGGAAAAGTATAGTGCAGGTAAGTGCTGTGTCTCCCTTCAGGAAGTCCCAAAAAAGAGTCTTATTCCTATAAAAAAATAAACAACAAAAAAACTCCATATGCGTTTAGGTTTGCTTAACTATAATTGTAGTTGCCTGGCTAGCTTGATCAGTAGAGCATGAGGCTTTTGTTAAAATACTTTTTTTCATTGTAGATAAACACAATAAACTAAATAAATAAATAAACTCTATTTTATTTATTTATTTATATTATCTATTTATAAATAGATAAATAAACACTATTTTATCTATTTATTTTATTTTATTTTATTTATGTGGTTTGAGTATCAAACCCAGTACTTCACACATACTGGGTGAGCAGTCTACTGCTGAGCCACAACCCCAGCCTAAGCATGAGACTCTTAACTATAATTATAATGCCTAGAAAGTTTTTGTTGTTGTTGTTTTAATTAGTGCCTAGAAAGTTTTGTTTTGCAGATTTTTTTTTCACTTTAGCAGCAATCCAACCACTTTTTCATATGTTGGTGGGTGTAATCTTGCTTTGTGCCTGTTTGTGCCTCAATGACAGATGTGCTTAGTCACTGCCCAGGATCTTCATTCTGGAGACCTTTAGACATTTTGCCTAAACCAAATTCATTGGGTCTCTGCATCGGGACCTAGTATTAAGAGGTACTTATGCCCAAGTCAGGAGAGTCACAGAGCTGGTGGAACTTGGGCCTTGTGGAGTCCTAGTGAAGGAAACAGCAGCACTACCAAGTCCATTTTAAGGGTCAGTAACCAGGTATTGGCCTGTGTATAGGGCTCTTGTCTTAGGATCTGTGTAAAGGAAGGCCAAGAAGGGAAGTTGACCAATGCTGGACTGACTGATGTTTGAGTCAAGCCAGGGAAGGGGATATTTTTACATGTCTTTGGGGTTGACCATTATAAAACTTTACCCTAGTGTGGTGGTATGGAGGATTTTTGTGTCCTCACCTGGAAGTTGCAAAGCTCATTGACAGTGTCCCTGCCAGGTCCCTTCCTACTAGGTAGACCCTCTGCTCTGGCCAGCAGTCTAAAGGATATGTTACTCTCTGAAGTTGTTGTTTTGCTATGGAACACTCTGTCCCTTTTTCTTTTTCAACCCAACTAAAATCTCTTGGCTGTGAAATGGAGGTGCAGAAACCAAGGAAGAATTGAAGCAGGGTGATGTGTCACAGCAGAAAGGCACCAGGCCGAAAGTAGAGCCGAGTTCAGGTCTGCCATGAATTTCTGTGCCCTTAGATAGTCCACTTCACCTCAAGAAACTCTGCTTGCTTCCACCATTCTAAGAGAATTAGACCAGATTATTTTTGTGTTTCTTCCCACTTTCAAATTCCTGTTTCTTCCTCTTCCTGTTACAGGCTTAAAAATAGACATATTCTTTGTGAGGCCATGTTTGTACCTTGCTGGGCACCTCCCCTTGCCTTTCAGATGAGCCTTTGCCCTGTGGATGAGCACCTTCTCTCTATAATGTGTTAATTGAGAAGAGCCTGGGCCTCCTTTCTGTAAAGCAGGTGGTTCTCTACCAAGGGCAATTATGCCTCATACCCCTATATTCCCAACCCTGGGCACATTTGACAAGGTGTGAAGACACTTGATTGTCACAACTAGAGGGTTCTATTGGTGTCTAGTGAGTAGAAGTGAGGGATGTTGCTAAATAAACCTCGTACAATGCAGAACAGACACAGACCCTACAACAAAGAATTATCTAGCCCAAAATAGCAATTTCCAGAAACCTTTCCATAAAGGGGATCAGACTTGGATTTTCTGAATACCTTTGTGGAAGTCTCTGTCTAGCAAAGAAGAAAACCTTTTTATAATGGCTTTGGATTGAGGGGAAGATGAGAGATCCTCTCAGAAGCATTCTTGACTTTTTTTTTTCATCTTTATTTTATTTTATGTGGTGCTGAGGATCGAACCCAGCACCCCGTGCATGCCAGGCAAGCAGGTTACTGCTTGAGCCACATCCCCAGACCCTTTTCTTGACATTTTTGATCAGGCAGGCTGCTTAGAAAGTGGCCTGCAGCAGTTTAATCTGAATTTAAATGAATTCCCTTCAGCCAAAAAATCTCTCTTGCTCTCTAAGAGTTCCTGCCCTGGGGTTCTATAGCAACCAGTGTTTAGATGTGGTGTGACTAGTCCCTGGAAAAGCTTCAAGTGTGTATCTTTGCACTGAAGGGATTCTTTTTTTTTTTTAATAACTTTGTTTTATTTATTTATTTTTGTGGTGCTGAGGATTGAATCCAGTGCCTCATACCTGCGATGCAAGCACTCTGCCACTGAGCCACAATCCCATCCCTGAAGGATTTTTGATCTGTGGGTAGCTGCCCCTGCACATATGGTGCTCAGGGAGCCTACTAGTTTTATTCTCTTTGATCCCAAACAGGGAGAGTTGGACTTTCGAGCAGAGTTCAGAGGAGCTGACTTTAAGATGGTTTAACAAGAGTAAAGTATAAATCAAATAGGCATGTGACTTAAGAGTTCATTTTTCAGTGAGTTTCTTTTTTCAATGAGTATCATTTTTTGCACTTTTGTCATTCTATTTATAAATCAGTTCCTTGGGGTCTGTTGTTTATGTGCATACAATTTATGATGAAATCTCATGTTACTATAGTTAACAATTATTTTTTGTTTTTAAAGTAGGCTCTTGTCCCAGATATATGCTGCTGTTATTGAGGCTGTTTTGGCTGGCATTGCATGTTATGCTAAAGCTTCCAGTCTAACAAAGGTAATTTAAATACCATGTTTCTCTTTCCGTGGTCATTATTTAATGTAAAGCATCCTAACCATTTGTTTATCTTTGGACATCTTGGAGTTCTCACTTTTGTGTGAACTCGGGCCTCCATGGCACCAGGCAGAGATGCCTGTGGAGTGCTGAGCTTCTGCTGCCTATGGCCATGCTGCTGTTGTTTTATCAGTGACAACTCATCAGCACTTCTTTGTAGACATCTGATTGTGTTATAGTCATTCTGTAGTACATTGTTATGTTCAGTTTAAACAGAATGTTTTTAGAAGTTAACTATAGATTATTCTGCTGTGAGTTTTAATAGTTAGGTAAGTTTTTTTTTTTTTTTTTTGAGCTACTTAGTTTGGTTTCCTATAATCCAGTGTTTAAAAAATCAACTATAGACTAGAAAATCTGACTTGCCTTTCCTAGACAAGCATGCATGTTCTCGGTCTCTGACCATTTTCTTCCTTGATGTTTCATGATTAACCTGGCCTGCTGAGTTGGATTCCTAAATCTGACATAGTAAGGAGATGAGAAGAGTCAGCTTGATGCCTCCCAATGCCAATAGGACCTTTTCTGAAGGAAACCAGTTGATATTGGAAAGGTTGTGTATGATGTAGATGTGAGAAAGACCTTAGACATAGTCACCAGCCCCTTACCATCTCCCCTCCTCACTGAACTTGAATCCTGGAATCTCTGTACTGATGCAAGATTATTCAGCCCTTTAACTTCTACCTACCATAGGGCCTATGCAAAGCCATGGGATACCCTTCTGTTCCTACACCTTTGTTTTCTAACTGATCTTTTGTAACTCTAGCTATTTAAATATTCTTAGTTTCTGGCAGGGACTAAGAGCAATGGTCCCTCTACTAGAGTTAGGGGAGCGGGGAGCCCTTTTCTAGACTTCATATACTATCAGCATCACCCCAGCTGCTCATATCTCTCTGGCAGATCAGGTGCCAGTGCCCATCTGCCTGAAAGCAGTTTTTTTCCTATGAGACAGGCCTGAAGAAAGTAAGAGCCCTGTTTCCCTTAACATGATGTTTATTTACACTTTAGTCTCTTGACGTATACAGAGTAGTTACATAGAAGGCACCAGCCAACTGTTAGAAGATCCCTTCCTGTAAGTGATATGTGTATTTTTTACTGCTTGAAAGCTAATTCATTCTCTTACTCTCTCTCAACAGGCCAAAGAGGTAGCAGAGCAGACTCTGGTATCTGAGTTAGATTCCTTTGAGCTGGTTCAGTTTAAGACAGCCCTATGGTAAGCAATGGTTGATGTTCTTTTTACAAGGAATTTTTTTGATTTGTTTTCTAAAATACTCTTGTCCCTTATAATTTATATTTCATCTTCCCTTTGAGAAATGTTTCAGTAAAAACATTCAGTAAAAATAATGATATATATGAAGGAGAATCACTCGTGATCAGGCCTTTATTTGACAAGCTAAGAGCCAAAACCAGAGGAACCATATGAGGAACACTTGTACATCTTTTGAGGCTAGAATGTGAGACAGATTCATACCAGAACCTTAGGAGATTTCATAGGTCTGATTCCAAAATAAAGTTAGAAGGGTTAAGTCAGGGACCTTAGAGATAGATTTGTTGGGGGAAGGAAGCTGGCACATGAAGATAGTCACTGCTTAGAAGAGACTTACCATAGTTCTGATCTGCCTCTTAGATGATAGAAACCCTGAGTCTTGGGACTAGATGCTCTGGAAATATGACTTCTTGCAGCCTTCCATCACATCTCCCTGCATGTCCCTCTGCATCTCTTATAGGACTCTGTACAGAGCTAAATCTTCATGAACTCAGTCTACTTAATCCCCATCTCACAGGAGGATCACTTTGTGTACTTTTGTGCGAAGGGTACAAAAAACATCAATATTGGAGAGTTTAAGAATACTTCTGGGGCCAAGCATATTGGTACCTTCCTGTAATCTCAGCAACTCAGGAGGCTGGGGCAGGAAGATCATAAGTTCAAGGCCAGCTCAGCAACTTAATGAGACCATATCTCAAAATTTTAAAAATAAAATGAAAGGGCTTAGGAGTGTAGCTCAGTGGTAGAGCATTCCTGGGTTTCCCTAGTCCTGCCCTCCCCCCCCAAAAAAAACCCACAAAAAGACTCCTAGAGCTTAAGGATATGGTGCTTTCCTAACATGAATTCAGTTCCCTGCACTTCAAAATAAATAAATACATAGTTTTCAGTCCCTAGCACTGCAAAATAGATAGGAAGGAAGGAAGAATGAATTCACTTTTCTGGGGTGTGCTATCATGCCTCTACTCCCATGACCCATGTTTTCTAATACCTACAACCCTGGATAATGAGAAGGAGTGTTTGATAGTTATATCAGTCAGTTGATCAAACAAAAAGAATTCTATTCTATTGCTGTAGCTCCAGAAGATGCAGAACTCAGTGGTGCAAGGCTTCCTTTTGCTTCAGGTCTCCTTTCCCCTGGGTCTTCTGGGTCTTTTTGTTTTGGTCGTGGAAGAGGACAGATAGGAGAAACCTGTTCCATTAGTCCTTGTGCTGCTCTGCATTGTCTGTTACTGGCAGGTCTAAGTTTATGAAAGTTCCTTCACTTTCTGGCTATAACTTATTAGGCAGGATAGGTAGCCTCTATATCTATTTCCTGAAACTGTCTATCTAATAGAGTGTTTAGGTATGTAGATTTTATTTGCTATTATAGTGAACTTGGCTGAAATAGTCATTCTATTTATCCTTTGCCTTGGAATTTTGTCCAGGCCACTTCTCAAACCCAAAGCTTCCTAGGCCTGAGTGTATCACCCTAACTGGAAGAAGGCATATGGAGAAAACACTGAGTAATGGGAGGAGAGTCCCTGAGTCAGTCCTTCACCTAGAGCCCCGCTCATTTCTGTCCACAAGAGTTACTTTACTGAGGACTCACACTGCATCACATTAGCAGATCACCTGCCTAGAGAGGAAGGTGGAGGGAGCCATGAATGTACACTGAAGTTAGTGTGTTACTAACTAGTACTTCTTAAGGCATGAAATTCGGCTTATATTATTTAGAAACTTTATTTTACAAAGAGTAAACCAGAAGGGTTTTCTGGTTATTCCTCAGCTCTGAAGACCTGGCACTGCCTTTGGCTCCTTAGCAACTAACTGTGAGTAGCAGAGATGTGGCCTTTGCTGGAGTGTAGAGCGAAACTGGCAGTTTGACTCAAGGTTGATGAAGAGCAGGAGTTTCAGGACAGTATATAGAGGCTGAGGAGCAGAGGTGTTATCATGCCAGTCGAGGGCCACAGGCAGTCTGCAAGAGTCAAGATAGCCTTTGAGAACTAGCAGGCAGGGCCTGGGGTCAGATACTGGCGCCACACTTTCTGATGGCATGGGACCCAGGGAGAGGTATCTAAAATAACTGAGGTAAATCTGTGTAAAGCTAGGATAACACAGTAGTCAGCAAGAACAGACTGACTTCTATTGTGTTTTGGTTTTGGTCTGCAGCTCCAAGATGGCTTTTCATATACATGCTGTGAATAATCAAGGAAGGTGAGTGTATGATTTTGGTATCTTCTTCCATGATTAAGTTGAAGAACATAAAGAGAGGAGAGGCTGCCTTGTAGCTGCAACCTTCATTGATCTTCTCACAGTTTCATTCTTGGCCAAGGTACCACTCCAGTCTTGGGTTCAGACTGGCTGTATTCATGTGAGCCTCTGCACTCTTGAGTGCTTCCCACTGGAGTAAATGAGTTCACTCCAGTTACCCACATGCTAATTCTGCATACTGGAATTCAAAACAGAATTTCATAGTGTTTTAAAAATCCTTGAGAGAAATCTGAGTCTGTGAGTTGTTACCAAGTTGAAAAAAGAACATTGTAAGTTTTTGTTGCAGTTAAAAATGTCATCTTCCATATCTTTCCTCTTACAGAATTGTGCCTCTGGAGGGTGGAGATAATTTATCCTTTGTGAAAACGGTAAGCAGAGCTATTATATATACATCAGCTGGCTAGGAATGGCCTGTAGAGGGACACCTGAAAGGGGTGAGGTGGGAATAGGTAGGGGTGTCCAAGTAACTAAGACTGTTCTGATCTCATGGAAATTTTGAGTTGAGGACAAACCTGCCTTTATCAATGGACCAACAGGTTTTAGTGGCTTCTTTTGCATTCTAAGACCCGAGTTGATGCCCTTAACAGGGAGCTGGGAAGATCCATTAAACAAACAATAATCAACAAAGGCCTGGGTCTCCAGTGAAGTGGGGCAGAGTAGTTTAGAGATATAATGAGCTATTGGTCCCTGGGATGGTATGGCATAGCCTGAGGGAATCAGAATTTTCTAAGCCAGCTTCAGCCACAAGCCAAGTGCTCCATTTATTCCACTGCATCCTGGTGTGAAGAGGGTTGGCAAACAGTGCATTAGAGGATGGTGGCTATCCAGCCAAGAATCTGGTTGAAGTATGCATGTGCACAAGTTATACCTTAAGTTTGTTCTGTGGCCACTGCCTGAGCCTTAATTCCAGCACACTTTGGTCATGGTAAGTGGGCAACTGTCGACGACTTAGTACAGATGCATTCCCATCACCATCACTGGTGGAAAAGCAGCTCAAAGGGCTTGTCAGTAGTGTTTTCTCATCTGTAGAGAATAATACAACAAGGGTAATTTGGGGGGAGGGGTACTGGGGATTTAACCCAGGGGTGCTTAAGCCACTGAGCCACAAGCTTAGCCCTTTTTTGTGTTTTATTTAGAGACAGGGTTTCACTGAGTTGCGAAGGGTCTTGCTGAGTTGCTGAGACTGGCTTTGAACTTGCAATCCTCCTGCCTCAGCCTCCTGAATAGCTAGGATTACAGGTGTGTGCCACCAAGCCTGACTAGGGTAATTTTTTAAGTTGTGAGTAATTAATGTTTTATAATGTATTTGGTCCCTGTCTGTCAGCATTTTGTGGTATTGTTCTTTTAGAACTATTTTAGACTTTTTTTGTGATATCAAGATATTGGGAAATACTTTATGACACTGGGGTGATAATACTTTATCACCTTGCTAAATTTTAAATTCCTGGCTTCTCTCCTTGGATTCTTGTGCAGTGCTTTGGAAGGTGCTTTGCACAATAGTATGTGACTAGAAGCCCAATAGAATCATATTCTTATGTTAAGTATGTATTGAAAGCTGAGCACAATGCAGTGTTACCATAGTCCCAGCTACTTGGGAGACTGAGGCAGGAGGATCACTTGAAGCCAGGAGTTCAAGGCCCCCTGGGCAATATAATGAGACCCTGTCATATTTTTTTAGGTATGAATTTATTAGCAGCTAATGAAATAAGAAAGAGTAGTCAGGAATTTTATGCTTTCTTTCCAGGATCAGGCAGATATGAAGTTCTGCCTCTTCCTTGAAGCTTTCTCTATAGATTTCTTCCCTATAAGTACTGTGTTCTTATAGGATTTGTAGTTTATACCATGTAAATTAGGAAATAATTCTGAACTAATATGTCATTTCACTTTTCTGTAAGCTCTTATCTCTATAGCTACACATTATAGATTTCCTGAAGAGATAGGTACTATGTTGTATTTTTTCCTCTCCCTATGCCACAAAGTGGCAAATACCTGGCAAGTATCCAACAAATGTTACATGTATTTTTTTCCAATGTTCTCTCTCCCCCTCCTTAATACCAGTGACCAAATATGAAAGTAAAGGATCAGAAAGCCACAGGATCTGTTTACTTGATTGATCTGGAAACCAAAGAAAGAAGTAGGATTCCCACTGTCACTTATGAAGGACCATGTAACCAGTGAAACTCTGTGTTATCAGATGCTCAAAATTCCTTGAGAGGCCTGGGGTTGGGGCTCAGTGGCAGAGTGCTTGCCTAGCATGTGTGAAGCACTGGGTTTGATCCTTAACACCATATACAAAAAAATTAAAGGCATTCTATCCATCTACAACTACAATTTTTTTAAAATCCCTTGAGAAAAATTTTAAAAAACCTTCCAATTATTAAGCCTAATCAGAAAATTAACTCAAACATAAAAGCCTACTTGTCAGTTCACCTATTATCATGACAACTTTGAAAATCAGGGACTTGGCTTTGATTGTGTTTTTTTTCTTTTCAACCCTCTGTGTTCTTTACTTAAGAATCCAGCAGTTCCTAGCTGGTTACTGTGGTTTACACCTGTAATCCCAGCAACTTGGGAGGCTGAGGCAGGAGGATCACAATTTCAAGACAAATCTCAGCAACATAGCAAGACCCTTAACAAATTGATGAATAAAATAAATATTCCTCAAAATTAAAGAAACTTGGCATATAGCAATGTAGATCAGTGATGATATGTGACATTAGTCCCTAGTATCAGAACAAAACAAAAGAATCCAGCATTTTCTTCAAGTGCCCCATTTTTTTTTTTTTTTGTCTCTGTCCTAGGGGTAGATCAGGGGCCTCAAGCAAGGATAGTAATGTGCAGTAATGGACTTAGCTTCAGAAACTCTGCACCCCACTAATCAACAATGCTCAGGTTAAGAGGGAAAGATCCTATGCTCAGGTTAAGAGGGAGAGGACCTAACCTGATAGGCTTGTTGTACTGCTTATCCCATGTCCCTCACCAGATCTTCATGGTCATCCCATACCCAGACCCTAGCTCTGGCTTATATACTTCTACCTGCTTTCTGTGGTGTTTCTTTTATTTTTCTTCCTTCCTTCCTTCCTTCCTTCCTTCCTTCCTTCCTTCCTTCCTTCCTTCCTTCCTTCCTGTTTTTTGTTTGTTTGTTTGTTTAGAGATAAGGTATTGATTGCCGTGTTACCAAGCTGGTCTGGAACATCTAGGCTCAGAGGATTCTAGCACTTGAGTAACTGGAAGTAGAAGCACACAACCACCATACCTGGTTTCTGTGTTTCTTTCTCGTTATCTAATATTTTTTTATCAGTTGATGATGGCTCTTTATTTTATTTATTTATTTACTTACTTACTTACATGTGGTGCTGCAAATCGAACCCAGTGCCTCATACATGCTAGGCAAGAGCTGTACCACTGATCTATAACCAAATCACTCTGTGTTTCTTTTTTTTTTTTTTAAAGATTTTTTTAGTTATAGTTGGACACAATACCTTTATTTTATTTATTTATTTTTATCTGGTGCTGAGGACTGAACCCAGTGCCTTATACGAGCTAGGTGAGCAGTCTACCGCTGAGCCACAACCCAGGCCCCCCACCCCCCGCCCTGTGTTTCTTTTATACCTTTCTCCACAGATTTGTTCTGTTTTCTCTCCTTTTGTGCTGAGGGGCTTTCTTACCAGCTTTTAGGAGCACACTCTAATTAGAGTTGCTCTAATTTTATTTCTGGGCTACTGAAATCGATACTTTTATTTGGTACAGTTGTTTCATGCTTACCCACAAAGAATATATTCCAAGACTCTCAGTGGGTACCTGAAACAATGGGTAGTACTGTATATATACTGTATTTTTTCGTATTGGTGCATACCTATAGTGAAGTCTAATTTATAAAATCAGGCACAATATTATGATGATAATAGTAGAATAATTACAATAATATACTGTAATAAAATTTCCAGCATTACTACTCTTATGCTTTGGGGTCATCATTAAGTAAAATATGGTTACTTGAATGTAACCCCTTTGAAAACCATGATAATCTAATAGCCGAGGTGACTATTAAGTGACTAACAGACAGTACTGTGTAAAGTACAGACACACTGGACAAAGGGATGTTTCACACTCTGGGCAGGATGGAAGAGGATAGTACAAGATTTCATCATGCTACTTAGAAGAGCTCAGAATTTAGACTTCATGAATTGTTTATTAGGGGAATTTTCTATTTAATATTTTCAGACCACATTTTACTGTGAGTACTGAGGTTGAAGAAAGTGAAACCACAGATACAGAAGGACTGCTATACTGAAAGAATATGTACTGAAATGTACACAAAAATATCCATGAAGATACGTGTATACCAAATGAATGACAGTCTTTCTGGGCTTGTTCAAAACTCAAGCCTAAACCGCTAGACAGAGTGTGACAATGTGGGGATGTGAAGCTATGAATGTGTACAGAAACTTAGAGGAAACACCACAAACTCTGATAGGCTGGGAGCCAGTCATAGTTAAGAATGAAGACACCTTTAATCCTAGATCCCTCGGGGGGGCTGAGGCAGGAAGATTGCAAGTTTGAGACCAGTCTGGGTAAAATAACGAGACCCCATTTAAAAAAAAAGGCAGCTATGTTGCCTCTCAGAATACTCATAGAATAACACCTTGAGAGGGCATTTATAGAAGCATAAAGATGCTCTCCTTCTAGTCCAAGTATGTCTCTGGAAAGAAGCCTGAGTGTTCCAGAAGTTCAAGGTATATTTCAGGATAGTTTGTTTTCCTAAGAAACTTTCCAGTTTATTTTTGCCATGTGTTTTAAAGCAGTGTTTTGTGGCCTGTATCTTAGGGAACTCTCCTTGAAGGTGTTGGGCTGGAGACTGCTACAACTCTGATTTCTCATTTGATACAGGCTTGTATGACTGTCTATGATATTCCTGATTTGCTGGGAGGAAGAGGGTGCTTAGGATCTGTGGTCTTCTCAGAATCATTTTTGACATCTCAGATCTTAGTTAAAGAAAAGGGTAAGTATATGTGGTCTTTATAAAGTAAACATTGGAAAAAATTTTTTTGACAAAGTAAGCCATAAAACTAAGGCATAAGACCAATATAAATTGATGAAAATTTTAAAATAAGCCAATGGTGTATATTCAAATTTATGAAGAGCTCTTGTAAACTAATAAGAAAAAGATATGCTTCCCAGTGGGGAAATGGGCAAAAAGTGTGAACAGACTATTCACAGAAGTGAAACACAAAAATAAAGTGGGGGGATTTATAGGAATGAAAATATACAGCCTCAGTAATAATCAAGTGGAAGCAATTTGAAACAGTTATTAGGCACTGTTTTTTTACCTATTATGTTGGCAAAAAATATTAATTAAAGAATGGTAATATCCAATGCTGATAGGACAATCCTGATAGTGTTCTGTTTGGTTTAAATATGTATATCTATAGTACCTGTACTACCTTGATAAAAATTAAAAATAAAGATAAAAAGGGCTAATGAAGGATTCTTCACTTAAATGTGTTTCTATTTGTTCTAAAAAATACTCAAGTTAATAACATGGGAAAACCTGTCTCTATACACTTATTAGTCTCTCTGTCCCCAGATGAGAAGTTCTCCTTTTCTGAGGGCATCGGACTCTTTATACCAATAAGAGGAACCTTTTCTCCCAAGGGGAAGGGCCTGCAAGGTGGGCTGAGGTGGTTGGAAGTAACTGGAATGTCCGTGGTCTTCCTACAGATGGCACTGTTATCACAGAGACCAGCTGCATAGTCCTGACAGCTGCCATACCCAGATTCTGCTCCTGGCTGGTCAGTATCATTCATAGATGAAATTGGACCCAAACATGAAAAATATGGGGAAGACATTTGAGGAGGAGCCTTTTTGTTGGGTCCCTTGTGGGATGTCAGATCCTAAGCTAACCATCATTCAGGAGTAGTAGTTTTATCTCAGCCCTTTCTTGTTATATGAACAAATCTCATTTCTTTAGCTCTCTCATATTCTTAGAACATTTAAAAAGAAAAGAGCTATGTTATACGAATTATTAAATTGTGCAAGGAAGAAATTAATCCCCTCATGTTATGGATGAGGAAACTGAGGATTAGAAGTTGATAATATCGAGAGGATACATTTCACGACCCCCATGGGGATCTGCCTGTCCACAGTTACACAGATTGTGAGAAATGGACCTGTAGCTCCTTGCTCTGGCCAGAATGATTGCTACTGATTTTTCACAACATCTCTCCACATGTAGAAAATTTCCATCTTCCTCAGTAGGACTCGGTCCAAAACTCTACTGCCTTGGGTCATAGAAAGCATGATAGCAGAGAGTCTGATATTTGATAGTCTAAGGGTCTAAACTTAGAATCTATTTGTGTTCTATTTCTACAGTTCTGATATGGACAGGGAAGAACTAAGAGTCATCTTCTAACATGAACATGTTTAAATGAGAACACACTCTGAAAATATTTTAATATATTATCATTTCTTCATCCCTAATAATAATTATTTTTCTTTTGAAGTGACATGTAACTGGAGATTAACACATCCTACCCACAGATCTTAGGCTCATTCGCTGGATCAGAGAATCTCAGTGAGAGAGCCTACTGTGGCCTTGTGCTCTGAGCCCTGATGAATAGCAGCCATTTCTGCCAGCATATCAGGGCCTGAGAGCACCGGACGTGCTAGAGGGACTGCCTAGATAGTCTCCTATAGATTTTTGAACACAGAGGGGGTACTCAGCAGGATTTTCTCTTGAAGTAGTAAATTGAAAATCTGCATTTCTATTGGACACAGGTAGAAGATGATGAAGTAAAATTGTCTGAGAAAACCCAGCAAGCAGTGAGGGTAAGCAGCCTTTTTCTAGCATTAGCATCCTGCAAACATCGAATGTAAACAATTCCTGAAGATAACTTTAAAAATTTTATTTTACCACTAATCTAAGGGATCTGTAGTTCTTTGTCTTCAATTCCTATTTGTATTCTTCCCCTTCCCAGCAGACATCTGGAAATAACCACTAATAGGGGATGAAATTAGAAGGATTCTTTCTGCCATTTAGACAATTTGGGTTTTTAAAAAGTCTCCCAGTATTAATCATAGCAGATCCTAGATTGACTTAGACATGGAAAGCTGAGATGCCAAAGCTTTAGGCCACTGAGAACCTGAACTCCATTTTCACAGAAGTAAATCCACTAGGAGATGAGCAGGAATTGCAGGCTTTGGTGCCTGGACTCAGAGAGGACCTTTACATTTCTTTTCTCAGCACCAGTCAAGTATGGTAGCCAGGCACACTGGTTTACACTTATAATTCCAATGACAAAAGGATTACAGATTTGAGGCAAGCCTCAGCAACTCAGTGGGATTCTATCTCAAAATAGAAAATAAAAAGGGATGGGGATGTAGCTAGGTTGTAGAGTGCCCCAGTAATATGCCAAAAAAATAGATGCCAGTAATATGCCAAAAAGAGCAAATGCCAAAGATAATGGAAGAAATTGGGTATGTCTGAGTTTGACTCTGTTTTTTTACACAGACAATATTTGGCAGGATTTTTTATTCTGTATGTACTACAAATCATCTATGTTTTTGCTTTGTTGTTCTTTAAAGGGAGATGAGTGTTTCCTGGGCACTTTTCTAACAGGAGGAGAAGGAGCATATCTTTATTCCAGCAATTTACAGTCCTGGCCTGAAGAAGGTAAGCAGCTATGGCTTTTCTGTTCTTGGCTTGTCTGGATCCCTAGTTTGCGGATATTAGCATGGCTGTTATGATTAATAATACATCTGCTGTTTGAAAAGGCTTGTTGGAGTTGCAGTGTCTTCTTACAGCTTTTCTCCTTTGATCCACCCACTTATAGATGAGGAAACCTGTGCTGGTTTCACAAGTACAAGGGCTTGTCCCAGGACTGTACCTGGTTCTCTTGTTGCCATCTGACGTTTCTCTCAGAATGGGTTAGAGCAGCAGCATTTCAGAAATAGAATTTGTAGACCTGAACAAAATCTGGATTAGTTTTCTACAGCTTTATAACAAAATTACCACTAATTTAGTAGCTTAAAACAACACCTACTTATTATCTAACAGTTCTGTAGATTAGAAGTTGAGGCAAGTTTAGCTGGATCCAGGTCTAATTAGGCTGAAGTCAAAGATCTGCCAGGCTAGGTTCTCATCTAGAGACTCTAGGGAAGAGTCGACTCCCAAACTCATCAAAATGTTTGGTCCACAGTTCCCTCTACTGTAGGACTAAGGTCTCCATTTTGTTGCTGGTTGCCATCCAGGGACTGTTTTCAGCACCTCTTCTCAGAGGTCTTTGCCCTGGGACCATTTCTATCTCAGCAACCAGAACCAACCTTGAAACTCTCATATCATTCTACCCTCTGGCCCTCAAGATTCATATCCCTCCCTCATGTAAAATATAGTTACCTCCTTTTAAGGATCTTATCCTAATATAGCAATAGTTCAAAGTCCTAAATCTCATGGACTCAGATATCCCAAATCTCATCATTGAGATCATCTGAACCCCTTATAGACAAGGCTCAGGAGTGTAGTGTATCAAGTATAGCTTCTAAATTCAGATCATCTCCCTGTCTATGGATCTGTGAAACTAAAGAGACAGGTTATTTGCCCCCAGCTCTCCCAACATAGAAGTGCAACTGGTAAGTGTTCAGATTCCAGAAAGGGAGAACATAGAAGGTGAAAAGGCAACCCTAAAATCCTGGTAACAACTCCATTTTCTTGGTTAAAGTTGAGGTCTGGGAATTATCTCCTGCAGCTCTCAACTTTACCCTTTGGGCTCTTTGTTCTATTCTCTGAGCACATGGTTTTGCCTTCTGGGTTCTTGGTTCAGCCCTCTTCCTTTTCCATGAAAAAGAGTAGTTCCTTAATTAGAACTGAAGGCCTGGGAATAATTCTCAATGGCTTCAGCTCTTCTCCTTTGGTTCTTGGTTCTACCCTCTGAGCTCTTGGTTTCCCTCTGGTTCATGGTTTGTGACTTATGGCTGTGAACTCAAATTTTCATATCTCTGTGAAAGGTAGCACTTCTGTTTGTGGGTAAATAGTTCTGTCAGCCTGCTTCTTGAAGTAGATTTCTCAGAGTTCAGCAGCTTCTTTTCATTTTTCTCTTTTCTGTCTCTTTCAGTCCAAGCTGGTAATATTTTTACTGATAGTAAATTTCTCAAGAACATTTTTTGGTCTTGCATGGATTTCATGGAGATTTACTCCAGATTCCTTTTTGGCTTCTTCAAAATACTTCCATGTGTGTATGTGGTCCTTGGGATGGAACCCTGGACTTCATGCTTATAGGCAAGCGAGCTACATCCCCAGGCACCAAGTAACATTTTATTGCAAGTCCTATTATTTCCTTGTTGAATATAGTCTTTTTGTTAAAGAAGAGTTCTGATTTCACAAATTCCTCAACCTCTACTGAGCAAATCCCCTTTCTGGATGATTTGTTCTTCTTGTTGAAAATATTCTATCTGGTGGCAAATTCCTCTCCCTGTTCTCAGATCACTGGTTTGGCTCCTCCATTCATGTAGAAGACAAAGCGCAAGGAGTTCTGGTTTTCAGACCACAAAGTGCTGAGGTGGTTGTAGCATCTGTTACATGCCTGTGTCATGATGGGCCTTTCATTTCTGCATTTCCAGGTCCTAGTGCAGAAGACGTGGGATTTAGAAAGATTTGTGGAAGTCACTCAGTGTGTGTCAGTACTACCAGCTGTGGAGCAAGATCACATAGTGTTTGAAAGCAGGTTGTAGGCACAATACAGAGTTGGTTGTACACTGTCATCCTTGAGCCAGTTATAGTATTTAACAAAGACACTTGCCCAAATTAGATTGCGGCTTCTTAGCAAAGGACCTTATTAGAAAACAAATCCTGCATTTTATTGATATCCAGCAAGGTTCAGTATATCCTAGGTCTCTGTTAGAGGATAAAAGAGACAGCCAGTGATTTCTGGGTCCTTGTCAGTCACATTCTTTCAAGAGCTTAGATTTTAAACTTTTTTAGTTCCTGAGGGAAATCTAGTTTTCTGAGACAGGAAAATTCAATAGAAGTAAAAAATTTAAACAGGAGGCTATATGTTAAGCATTTTACCACTTCAGGGTTTAGGACAGAGATTAACTGGGTTTGTGGGGCTTGAAGTAAACATTCCGGGGATCTCTTACAAGAAAACATTGTAAAATGGGTAGGACTTTTCTCAGGTCTTGGAATGGAGCTTAGTCAGGTAAATGATCCTGAAGCTCAAGTATCATTAAGTGTCTTGATAAATCTGCCTCTAGTTGAAACTGGATGAGTTTGAAATTTCTGTCTTTTTCAACCCTTGAAAATATTTGTTTTGAACATTCAAATCCTGAGCCTCATAGAAGGGGAAAACTTTACTAAGTTTGTAGTGCAAGTTAATGGCAGCTTCTATAGGATTGTCCATGTCTCAAGGGTAGTTCAGGCTTTCTGACTTTTGTCCACTGGACTACTTGGTGGTGAAAATAGTGCTTCTTTTGCATTGAAATGCTTCCAGCTCTGGAACCTTTTCCTTTTCCCAGCTAGTGGCTTCTGCTGTCATGAGACTTCTTGTTATTCAGCTTCCCATTCATTCATGTCCTTCATGTGCCCTTCTCTTCCCACCCTGCTGACTGTGGCCAGGCAGGCTGCTCAGTACCTAGTCCTTAAAAACTTGCTTTAGAGTTTTACCACATATGCCTATATCCCTAAACAAAGTCCTGTTTTTGAACTTGAACTAGATAGAATCATACTGTGTGTGTTCTTGTTCTTCTGGGGCTTGCTTTTTTTTTTTTTTTTTTTTTTTTGCTCAATTTTATGTTCCTAAGATTCATACAGATTTTTGTGATATTTATTTGGGAATAGTACAGCATTGCGATGGGAATTCACATGCCATAGTAAACTACGGGTGTATTCAGAGGGGCTGTGGCAAGAAGAAGTTTTTAAAGAAAAAAAATAGGTAGGATTACATCAGATATTTTGAAACAGTCTTTGGCCACATTGATTAATAACAAGTGGCATCAGTCTAAGGTTGAACAGATGGTTGCTGAGCAGATAGTCTTGGAGAAGTGTGTTTTGTGTATGGCTGTGGTGGCCTCTGTGGAAGTTTGTGGTTCTAGCAGTCTTTTGTGGTAGTTACTATCAGGCAATCATGCGCAAGAACTCTTCCTTCCATAACTTCTCAGCTTCATTTACTTTTTTTTTTTTTTTGGTTGTGTTGATATAAGTGACTCCATTTTGATTTCTGACAACTTTCACGTCTCTTTCAGAGTTGTATGTAGCCATATAACTCATTCAACATGGCTCTGTAGTATTCCTTGGTATGAAGATTAGCTACTTACCATTTTTACTCTTGATGTAACATTTGGATTATTTTTAGTTTTTTGCTGTTGCAGACAGTATTGTTATTGAACATTCTTATACATATTTCTTGGTTCACTTGGGTAAAGTTTTCTTCAGAATTGGAATGGAGAGGAGTAGATTGGGATTTTAGGATGACCTCATGCACAGCTTTTATCAGTGAAGTCAGAATGATTGTACCAAGTTATACTTCTACCAGCAGCATATAATTGTTTCTGTTTTTCAACATTTTGGCATACTTGTTTTGCTGGTGTTTGCCATTGCAGTGAGTGTATAATGCTATATCATTAGGACTTTAATTTTTATTTCTCTGATTATTAGTGAAAGCTGATCATATTTTATTTATTGGCCTATTATACTTCCCTTTTGTAACATGTTTGTTTTTGTCTTTTGCTCATTCATTTGTGGTGTTTTTGTTGTTGTTTGTCATTGTTATTTTTTAAGAATCAAAGTTCTCAGGGCTGGGGTTGTGGCTCAGCAGTAGAGTGCTCACCAAGCACATGCAAGGCCCTGAGTTCCATCCTCAGCACCACATAGAAGTAAATAAAATAAAGGTATTGTGTCCAACTACAACTAAAAAAAAAAAAAAAAAAAAAAAAAAAAAAAAAAAAAGACCCTGGGTTCAGTTCCCAGTACCACAATAACAACAACAAAGTTCTGTATAGCCTGACCTGGTGACACAGTCTTGTAATTTTTGCTACTTGGGAGGCTGAAGCAGGAGCATCACAAGTTTGAGACGAGCCTGGAAAGCTTAGCAAGATCCTGTCTCGAAGGGCTGGGTTATTAATTTTAATGTAGTCAAAATTATTCATCTTTTCCTATGTGATTTGTATATTTTGGATCTGTTTAAGAAGTATTTCATCTCCTGTGATAATTTTTTCAGAATCCACTTAGATTGATCTTTGAAAGTGATATGACATAGGAATTTATTCTTTTGTAAATGTAGAAAAGCACTTGTTTAAGCAACAGTTGTTGAAAAGTCATTCTTTTACCACTGATCTGCAGTGCCAGCAACTGTTATAAATCAGATCACTTTATGTGTGCTCCTATTAATAGGATTTCTGTTCTGTTCCATTATTCAACTTGTCCCTGAGAAAATACCATTCTGTCTAGATTTAGATTTATAATATATTTATATATGGTGTCTAAGTGTGCTGAGACTGCCATAACAAAATATTATAGACTGAGAAGCTTAAATAACAAATTTATTTCTCACAATTCTGGAAGATGGGTAGTCCAAGATCAAGGTATAGCAATGTAAGTTTTATTCTGAGGACTCTTGTCTTAGCTTGTAAGTGACTACAGCTCACTGTGTACAAACATGACTTCTCCTTTATATCCAAAGT